GATAGATAGATAGATAGATAGATAGATAGATAGATAGATAGATAGATGGACGGCTTGCCAAATGGGCTGTGGAACCACAGTGCCATCTAGAGGGTGCTGCATTAATCAGACCTCAATAACTCAGAGGGAACACAATTGTTTCTTTGTATTACATTAATCAACACAGAAATATAAATGAACTTCAATTGGTTCAGTTTTTTTTTTTTTTTTTTTTTTACAGGAACTATTCCAGAATTGAGAATATTTTCAGATAAACTCCATTTATGAGGTGACATATTTCCTTTCTGGGTTTATTTATTTTGATTTTTTGGCAATTCTCAACGCCCAGACCTCTGTTCCCTTATGAGAAACTCCCGTGGAAGAAGAAGACCACAACTTGCCAGACACAGTGATCGCAGAAACAGCAGACCTGAAAAAAGAGCCCCTGTAGGCCACTGACCACTGACCTGAAGAGTTCACAACTGACTGGTTTTGACCAGTCAGTCAGTCAGTCTGACCTAATACCTTGTTTTTCATTTTTGGACCCTAAAGGTAATGGAGACGGTAAAGAACATAAAGGTAAGACATATATGATGCAAGTTGCAAGTACTGTAATTGCATTTTTCAGTCCAATGTGCTTCTGTTAGGCAAACAGCAGAGGTTAGAGATCCTCAGAAAACCTGCAATCTCAAGAAACAAACAAGGAGTTTCTCCAAAGTATTCAATATACATATATACAGGATGTCAAAGCTAACAGTCTGTAGTCATCCAGCTGCATCAGTTACCCTACTCTGGCCACCACTATGAGACCAGTCCATTGGACTTTCTTAGGGAGTAAGACATTTTTCTGACTTCACATTTCTGATTCTTGTTAAAAGTCACCCTTCAAAACATTGTTGAGCTCTGTACAGGCCTGCTCACGGCGCATTGATATCAATGAAGTGAGTGAAACAGGAAAACCTGCAGGACGGTTGATTGAGGACTGGAGTTTTACACCTATGGCCAAAATGTAAAAGCCTCTGGACTAGTTGACCTGACCAGTCCTTCAGAAGCTTGGGACATAATCCATATGGGCCTGCAGGCTTCCCTGACAGAGCTTTTCATGAGCTTAAGTTCCACCTCCTCTATGGTTAGTGAAAAGGGAGATGTGGCAGGGCTGATGTTGAAATCAGTCATGGAGATGGGGAAGCATCTTGGCAGAGGAATCAAACACAGCATGTCAGCACAAATCCTGTCAAGTACTATCGAGCCATAACTGTCTGATGATTTAGACACTTTTGTTATTCGGAGTTGACAATGAACTCCATCATATATGAAACTACTATAGAGGGAAAATCACAACAAATGTTGGATGGATCCTCTTAATCCTTAATCCAGAGGAGTAGATTGACATATGAATGAAAACGGGAATAGAAAATGATGAATTTGGTCCGGTCAAATCACCAGACATTAGCACATTGAATTGCTGAAAACACCTGCATACATCATCAATTGAAGGAACATTACAAAGAATTGTCATCCCATATTTCTCCAAAAAGATGTAAGCAAAATGTTGAATTATGTTGTCAACTGGATATCGCAATTATGCAATTGAATTAGTTTTCCACACACTGATTCATCATTTTGGCTTTGTTTTTGTTTGGGGAATAATAGTAAGAAAGGATCCAAAATTTAGTAGAATAGAAATGTAATAAAAGGAGGCATCAGTGATCTTGCTCGTCTTCTTTTTCTTCGTTGTCAGATGTTTGACACAGCGTTGGAGTTTGACTTTTACTGTCTACTCGTCCTTGTTTTTTCTAGCTTCCTGGCTCGGTTGGTGTCATTTCTCCAGAGTATCGTCTGCAAGGTTCTTGCACCGTCTTACAGTGTATCCAGGTTGCTTTTTCTGCCACTTTGACAGCTGTGAGGGACCAGTGAACACCTGAAATGGTCCTTACAACCGTTGCAACCCTTAATGGTGTGGTTGTTAGCACCATGGCCTCACAGCAAGAGGGTTCTGGGTTCGATTCCCCAGGGGAACCAGGACCATTCCAAATTGCCCTTAGGAGTGAGTGTGAGTGGTTATTCGTCTTTGTGTTTCTCTGTGTGGCTCTGCAGTGGAATGGCGGACAATCCAGGGTGCCCATTGACTATCGGGATAGGCTCCAGACCCCATTAGGGAACACTCTTTCGCGACCCAATTTGGGAATAAGTAGTACAGAAGATGGATGGATGGATTTCTGAAAATTCTAGGAGGAATGTGAAGCTGGACTTTCATCTTATGATATGCACTCCATGAAAATTAGGTCGTCTCCTGGAATGCATGGCATTACTGAGAATTTTATCTTTGTATTTGGGTCTTAATCAAAAATCCTCTTTCATTGATAATAAATGCATAGACAGACAAGAAATGATGACAACCATGCAGCAAATAACCTTGATACCTAAGCCAGACAAAGACCCCTTAATAATCAAAAACTGGAGACCCGTGTCAAATATTGAGTTTTTATATAAACTCCAAAGCATTAACGGTCTTTCTCGATTACTATAGGGCATTTGATTCAATTGTCATATAAACTCTGCAAATCCTTGGTTTTGGTGACAAGTTTATTTGCAATATTACCATTTATTATTTCCAAGTAATAAATAGCAAGGTTGTTCTATGTCCCAAAAAGTCAAAAAGATTTCCTGTTTCAAGAGGTGTTCATCAAGGTTGCCACATTTCCTGTTTCCAGTCGTGACCGAATTTAAGTAAATCAATTGTTAATATTCGGTTGCAAAGGGTTCCATTTCGAAGAGTCTTATTGAAAGCTGAGGGGTATCGAGGTTTGTTTATCCCGCTATGTGACTTTTTTATGTTGCAATCTGTAAAGAAATCAATTGTTTATTTGTTGATTGTGTTTGCAAAAAAACACCACCATCTGAAGAGAAAGGGGGATTAGAAATTCTAGATTCTTTTTCACTTAAACACTACCTTTAAGGTTAAATTAAATGTTTGGAACTACCAGAGTCGCTCTGGAATTGTATTCTCTGTTTCTTAATTACCGCTGAAACTCAAAATTGCAACAATAGGCTCTACACTCTTGTTATGTTCTTATCTTTTCTCCACACAAAGAATTACTTGGAACAATGGTCATATTGTATGGCTATGGTGGGGAGAAAGCAACAGGACAAAGGCAGCAGGCAAAGGAGGCAGCAGATAGAAGCAGTTCTGCATTCACACAGAGCCAGAAGAAGCCACAGGGCATTTTTAAAAATACAAATTTCATTGTGCCCCCCCCCTCAACAGCCTGTACCCTAACTCAGCCCCCACCAGACATAAATCTTGGACACAACCCTGGCAAGACTTCATAATAGGGATGGGACGGTTTCTGAAAACCGTCCGAACCGTTCGGTTCGACTGTCTCGGTTCGGTTCGCGTGTGTACCGCACGGTTCATGCACTGCTCCTTTTTCTCAGAGGGAAGCGTGTTCCCTCCGGACCAGAAGGTGGCGCTACTGCGCCCAAAGCCAACCACCAGTAGTAAACAAGAAGAAGAAGCGAAGCAGCGTAGCCGATAAAAATCAGACGCGCCAACAGCAGTTTCTAGGTCTGCTGTATAGACCTCTTTGCATTTAGAGTCAAGCACATGTTGGAATTAGCACTATTTCCTCGCTTGCAATGCCAGAATCTCACCTATTTTTAACCTAAGACTGTCACAATAATGTATCAAATGTCAGACTGCTTTTTTCTTTCAGTTTTAACTAGGGATGGGGATCGAAACCCGGTTCTATCAAGGACCCGGTTCCACTTTTTTCAAAACCCGAAAATCAATAACGTTTGGGCTTATCGATACCACTATCGAGTCTGGTCGTTTTTTTATTATTACAATAGTAATTGTGAAATCCGTGTTGTAATCGGCAGCATACAAGCTAGTTAGCTTGAAAAGTAAATAAAGTTTCAGACGTGCAGCGTGATGATGTGTTCAGATTGGCTCAGTAAAACGACAATTAGGTTATCATGATGCGTTCAAGTGTAACGTAAAGAAAAGGGAAATTGAGTTTTTGGCGAGAAACATGAGTAATACAGTTGTATATTGCTCTAATTATTTTAGAATATATAATTAAACTACTGATGCCAACATTTATTAAAAATTACATTTAATTTAAAATACAATTATTTATTTGTTAAATATTGTCGCATCGTCTTTCCACCAAATAACAGAAAATTATCGATAGTGGTATCGATAAAGACTCGGATCGATAAGGAGTATCGATAAAAGTATCGATATCAATAAATATTAACGATCCCCATCCCTAGTTTTAACCTGACTATACAAGACATAATAGATTTTCCTAACAATCACCATATACCGAACCGAACCGAAAACCGTGACCACAAAACCGTGAAACGAACCGAACCGTGGATTTTGTGAACCGTCCCACCCCTACTTCATAAGTATAATAACTAGACATGATACAGGTAACTTTCCTTCATATAGGCACAGTAAGTTTATCTTTGTATTTAAAATCTATGTGGTTAAAGGTTTTCTCTGCATTTTGGTTCTGAAGGTCCAAATCACTTAATAGCAAACATTTAATTTGACAATAAGGACATGATTAGCCCAAGATGTGTTCGACTACTTTATTTCAGATTTCAACAAAGTGTCCGATTGTGTCTTTAATCTGGCCAATCGATAGCAGTTGAAAATAAAATGAAGTACAATGGTTGCTATGCACTCATCTAAGGCCGTCCCAACAGGGGGAAGACGTGTACACACCGTCACCACACGCAGGACCATGCCCACCACTGGGCTAACGGGTTCTAGGATGACCAAAACCAACCTGGGAATAGGGTGCTACAAGACCCCCGGGCCCTAGCAACCCTGACCCCACAACATCTGAGCAACCTGGAAGTCAGAGACAACACCCAGAAGCATGTAATGGCTACCAAATCTGACCAAAAATATCAGATGCAAAACTCTTCCCCCCAGAAAAAAAACCCCTAGTCCACAGCCAACCCCAACCCGGTGAGACGCTGGTCCACAGACCCCACTAAAGTGCAAGTACCAGTCAACTGATTATTGATGTTTTGAGGAAGCAGACATTATTTCCACATTTTTCTAACAAAAAATCAACATTTCGAAACTGGTTAATAGCTAGACTCGTACATGTTTTCCAGTTCAGGAGCATAGTTTTCTTTGCCATACATGGGCAGTTAGGACCACAGATGCTGAATTAATTTCCATGATAACGTTACTGTGTTGGAGTGCGTTTACATGCGTTGAATCCAGTTTTTCCATTCATAATTGCAAATGAATCACATTATCTGTTCCTTTCACCATATAAGACTTGGATACTCTACAGATTTAATATTCTTCATTATGGCAACGTAAATGAAAAATTCACTATTTTTCAAGAACCACAATAAGCCTGTAATCAGTGAAATACTCAGCTGAAAAAACTGACTGAAGTCATAAAATGCCTAAACTCCTCATTAAAACACGTTATTTAATGTTTTTTCCCATCCATGTAGTAGGTTGAATTACAATACATTACATAGACAATACCAGTTATTGTCCCCAACTCAGCCAAGATAGCTCTAGATACTTTTCTAGAATTGTGTCAGCTTCAAGCTACTAAACACCCCTCTGATTCCAAGACAGTGGATTAATCATATCTTACATATTTCAGCGCAACAATGACACCGACTGAACCATACAACCATGTTTAAGATTTATTCTTTTTTTTAAAAAGCAATTATTATTGTGACACTCATTTCACAGCAGTGACCAAGTCCTAATGCAAATATCCTACATCAGGTTTGCCTTCCTACCTTTTCTCTAGAGAGTAGTGGCTCACTGTCAGGCAGTCACCAGAAAAACAGACAACACAGAGCAAGTTATGGCCATAACTGTTCCACAGAGAAAAGAAAAACCCATTGAGTATCATATTTTTTAAAGTCTGAACTGTACCAGCACCACCTCTTCTTGTCTGAGGTGGAGGGTGAACCATCCTAAACTGCTGTCAAAGCATTCAGTTACCTTCCATGGAAAATGTAATCAATCATATTTTTTGTGATTAAATTACTCTTGAAACTCACAAATGGAAAAAAAACAATGATTTATCTTTTACTAGAGCATATGAGAAATACAGTATTGCAAACAACTGATGCTGTGCACTGTAGAATATAAGAACAAAAAAAATAATGGAGGCTGTATCAGACGGCTTTGTAAGATCGTTTGGACAGAGTTAAATGTACAACGAGACATCATGGAACAAAAAAATAAAAATAAAGTACACTGAAAAGTTTTTCTGACTTTTTTTACTGTCAAAACCGGCACAATATATATTATGGTAAGAATGACTCCAATCTGCCTCCCTCCTGGCCTTGTCCATCTCTAAAGCTTAAAAGTCCTTTTGTTGCCATTGTGATTTGGTGACAACTATGTGTGCGAGTCTACTGCTGGCCCTCTTTCTTCTCGTCCTCTGAAGATTTGTTGCTACTGCTGTTTTCCCGCTCTGCTGCCATCTGCAGACACAAAGCAACCGGAGGGCAGTGGTTAGTACATAAACAGCCAAGTCTTGAGATGGCTCGTTAGATAGTCAATTGTTGGAAATATGAACTTATAGCCTACGTATAAAGACGGCTTCAATACAGTCACAACAGTTTATACCCACCTTCTTGTAGGCCATTTCGAACAGTTTAAGTGAAGCCTGCTGCAACTCGTTCGCCGCCTGTTTGATGTTCTCTCCGGTTTCTGAGTCCTTATTGGCCAGAAGATTCCTGACTTTTGACATTTCCTCTTTCAGCTTGGCGCACTGACATTGGATAGAACAAAATGACAAATGTGAAGAAAGCTGATTCGTGATCACAACAAAAAACGGAACATTTTCCCGTCATGTTGCAAATGAGCGTCAGTGCGAACTGATGGGATTTTCTGCTTAAGTACAATAAACCATTACATTTTCTTTGATAGATATTTCAATAAATTCATACTGCACAAGAAGACTCAGTAGAAATCTGTATGTTTTTAAACCTCAGCTTTACACCGAGTTACTCCACCTCCATCCATTGGTGTTTTTGTAAAATATTGACCTCAACTCAAATAGTTAAAAAACTCAATAGTCAATGCTAAATGTAACAACAATATAGAAAATCAGTCACCACATTGATTTAACTATTCAAATGTGCCTCCTATTGGAAGGTGCATGGGCAATTTTCTTTCAGCTGGCAACAAATTATGTAACCTCACATGAATAGCTTCTTATTTCTTTAAATCAGCTATGTCAACAGACACACCCGATGTTTAAGAAGAGCCAAAGGGTCAAGAGTAATGTCCCTCTGTTATTCTTACGTTTCTGTGAAGTAAAAGCAGCTTTGTACGTTGTAGGAACAACGAAGGACTCCATTTAAGCTCCTGTTTAACGTGAAAATTTCCACAACGCGTAATATAGTGAATGAACAAGAATGTCCATCCAGAGATTTTTTTTTTCGCCCCCCGATGAGAAGGGAATATTCCAAGATGACAATGCCAGAAATGATCAGGGTCAAATCGTGAAAACGGGCTTCGGGGAGCGGGAGACAGAACTTTCCCCAACGCACAGGCAACTACAGGGAACGGACCGTGACCCCTTTGAGAATTATTGGGATGTGGTGGAAAGGTCATTGCACATGCCTGGACTCTCCCATCTCAGTGACATATTAGTGCAGCACTGGATGGAAATAAATGGTGCGTGCCATGATCCAAACTCAAGGCAAAATACTTTTGTTTGTGTGTTTCTTTTGCCAGGCAGTGCATTTATACAGCAATTTTCAAATTTAATAGCAAAGGGTTTTGTTTTGTTTTTTACAATAGGCAGCATTCACATTCACCAAGTAGGTATATCATTACCAGTTAGATAATGCTTCTCAACACATGCATATTAACACATGAATAAAAAAAACTGAGGCTACATGGGATTCCCATTTCCAAAATATATGCGATGCATATTCAGTGTGAACTGCGAGCCAACCTAAACGTGTCCTGCATGCGCAGTAGAGGATGCAATAATGTCAGACGTAGCGAGCGTTCTCAGTGTCTGAGGTCCAGCTGTTCATAAAACGGACCAGGGGACGCGTTTACGGCCGCTTCGTTTGAGTCTGTCGTGTCCTTATTTGTCCTCAGTGGCTCTTTATTTTTCTTTGGCATTGGAGCCAAAAATGTTTATGCCCACACTCACTGTTTTATTGGAAAATGCCAACAAAAAATATTTAGGTTCTGATAAGAACCCTCACCCCACAGCATAGCACACTTTACACTCATCTGAGCAATTAAAAAAAAATAAAAATCCAAAAGTGGTTTCAACCATACCTCATCGGCAGGAAGCTGATCTTTGAACTCCTCCATCTTTGATTCCGTGTCATGGATGACACCCTCAGCCATGTTGACAGCCTCAACACGTTCCTAAGGCAGCGAAACAAGCATTAGCCATAGTCACAAACGTGCTGAAGAAAGAGCCCCACAAGTTATGTCACCTTATATAATTCTTTATATATATAGATCAATAGAGAGAGAGAGAATTTTATAGTCTTTAAATTCTGTGGTACCTTTCGCCTCCTGTCCTCCTCTGCATACTTCTCCGCATTCTTGATCATATTCTCGATGTCATCTTTACTAAGACCTCCTGATGACTGAATCACAACTGTAGAAAAGACAGGCAGACACAAACTTCAGTCTCCAGCTTGACACTGAAAAGGCACCAATTCAAATAAAGGAGGGCTAATTATTCTGTTGATAAATTTACTGCATATTGTCCTTATCTTTGCTCGTCAATACACGTACAACCTCATGGTGAGACCGCTGGGTTCAAGGGGGAACACTAAACCAAACATTGTTCTAGCAAACATTTTAAGTACCCATGCTACAAGTAAAAAAACAAGTCAGATCTTGTACTAGCTGGTACGAGCCTCAGATTGAACTAATGATGGTCGATACTTACTCTGCTGCTCGCGGCCAGTGCCCTTGTCCTTGGCCGACACGTGGACGATCCCATTGGCATCGATGTCAAAGGTGACCTCAATCTGAGGGACTCCACGAGGGGCGGGGGGTATTCCCACCAGAGTGAACTGACCCAGAATCTTGTTGTCCGTTGCCATCTCTCTTTCGCCCTGACACACTTTTATCTCTACCTGGGTCTGTCCGTCAGCAGCTGTTGAAAACACCTGGACGGAAACAAACGGTAATATTCTATGATTCCGGTTATATATTCGACACACAAACCAAAACCTTAAGGCCGATGGGCTGCTTTGTTTACCTGGCTCTTCTTGGTGGGAATGGTGGTGTTCCTGTTGATGAGCTTAGTGAAGACACCTCCTAAAGTCTCAATACCCAGAGACAGTGGCGTCACATCCAAGAGGAGCACATCGGTGACATCACCGGCCAGGACGCCACCCTGGATGGCTGCTCCTATGGCAACAGCCTCATCAGGGTTAACAGACTTGCTTGGAGCACGGCCAAACAGGTCCTGGACTGTCTGCTGAACCTGGAAAAAAAGAAAAGAAAAAAGGTGTGACTAACTTAGCAATCTATAAACTTCAGTCCAATACAAATAATTACTGAAAGCTATTTTTTTAAGGTTATCATTTTGTAAGTTGATCAAATGATTATGCAAACGTGATGAGCAGACAAAAAAAAATGGAAAAACTTCCAATGTTGCCTGTCCCATTGTCCCACTGAGTTATGACCTTGATTTTTACACCCTATTTGTGAATTTCCTGACCCCCGCCCACTTTTCTATTAATTTGTAAATGTTTAAAATAATAAAAGAGACCAATACAAGCACACCTTTACTGGTTAAGAGGTTTGAGCCCATTTGGCCCTAGACAAAAGTAATAGGTGTGGTACCTCAAATAAAATAGTATTGAGAATAAATTGAAAAATTACAATTTCTTCCACTGCATACGGTTCAGAAAAAACTTAAGACACAGGAATGTGATAAGTATTCAATCCATTGTAGTTGAGGACAAAAGGCCTGTGCTGTTTGGACATTACATTTACTGCTCTACTGCCTTTAACATCATTATTTCATACTTGTCTGCTGTGGTCGGATGCATACCTTTGGCATTCGGGACATGCCTCCCACAAGCAGCACCTCTCCGATGTCTCCCTTGGACACCTCAGCATCCTGCATGGCTTTCTGACAAGGCGCCACCGTGCGGCGAATCAGGTCGGCCACAATGCCCTCAAACTGGGAACGAGTCAGCTTCATGTTGAGATGCTTTGGACCAGAAGCATCCATGGTCAGGTAGGGGAGGTTAATGTCCGTCTGGAGGGGAGACAAGGAGAACAAGGACAAAGATATTTTTAATAAAGGTTCCTTACACCCCAGATTAAGCAGAATTAAAATGGTTGATGGCCATTTGCAGACCTTTCTTCCCCAGAAGCCAGAACCCAGCCACACCGTTAGGAGTCATGATATAACTAAATGGGAGCTAAATCTACTCATGATGTAAAAACCTTTAGTACCAAGGCTTTAGTGTATACTAAAATCATATTTATAAAAAATAATCATGAGGGTACAAAAAAAAAAAAACTTCAATCCATAAAACACAACTTCAATATTCCAAATTAATTCAATCCAAGTAGGTCCTACTTGAAAAACCTTCATAAACTGTGAGCAGGATTTCATAGTAAGAACAGCAAACCGAAAAAATAAAGAGAAAATCATATCCAGACGTCTCATCTTCAGTTGCTCCATTCTACACGGTCATGTAATTGTGAAAGTGTAATTTGAAGATATCAAAATAAAAAATGACATGCTTTTTCGTTGTCACGGCTGTGTCGTTTCTTGTGCACTCATCCGCAAAGCTTAACTACCAAAACAGATGGTCCTTTTTTCCACAGTGCCAAATGTGTGCGACTCAGCCCAGTCATTTCCCCCATGTCTATTGGGTGCAGGCCCCTCAAAACAGTTACAATTTTAGCCCCTACTTGGGGGGGGGGGGGGGTGTAGCAACTCCTTCACAAGAATCCAGCCTATTTTCAACACAAGCCTTATTATTTCTGTTATCACTATTGTAAATGGTTACACTCGAACCAAAACCCAATATCGGTGTGTTGGGCTGGTGTTGCATACAAATGATATCACAACACTGTCGGGCCCATCTTGCTGTTGTGACCACACTTGACCAAAAGCTAATGTAAAATGCCCTAAACTGACCCGAGTCAAGTAAAGCCGAAAAGGTGCTAATGGAAACGGGAAAAGAGTGAGGTCTCCTTGTTGGACTTAAACCACAATGTGTGAGGCGCTAAAAATGCGGAATAAGTTTACGGTGCACGAGACTTGCCGTGTGTCAGAGCAGGCTTACGTACAAGAAAGAAATTTAGCCAAGGCTAAATTGCTTTCCTGATATCATCAGGATCTCATTTAAAAATGTGATTTCAGTCAGTGTACCTGCAATGATGAGGAAAGCTCACACTTGGCCTTCTCAGCAGCCTCTCGAACTCTCTGAAGAGCCATATTGTCCTTCAACAGGTCCACACCGGTCTGAAAAATACAAAGATATTTTATTCATTCATGAATGGATATAACACGCTTATCAGTCCCAAATGTCAGTCTAAGGAGGAAAGCAGAGTAAATACCTACCTCCCTCTTAAATTCCTTCACTATGTGTTGGAGAAGGTGCTGGTCAAAATCCTCTCCTCCCAAAAAGGTGTCCCCATTGGTAGACTTCACCTCGAAAACTCCCTTTTGGATCTCCAGGACTGAGATATCAAATGTGCCTCCTCCCAAATCATACACAGCAATACTGAAAACATTTCAAAATGTCAGTTTACCCACACATCCATGTTTAACCGACAAAGCATCACGATTTCTCTCCAGGCAGAGCAAAACCATTACCGATTGCGGTGACGCTAGCATTGAACTCTAGCAGAGGTAGCACTCTCTATTCAACTTACATTTTGTCCTGGGTTTTGTCCAAACCATAGGCAAGAGCAGCAGCTGTTGGCTCATTAATCACACGCAGGACATTCAGGCCAGAAATCTGACCAGCATCTTTAGTAGCCTAGAAATCACAAATACAAAAAATATAAATATAATAATCTGAGAGAAATGTCATGAGACAAAAGGCAGGGGTTTGAGGGGACATGTGAACACACTTGCAAACATTCACATATAGAAGCTTACCTGTCTCTGTGAATCATTGAAATAGGCTGGAACAGTGATCACAGCATTTTTCACCTTAGTTCCCAGATAATTTTCTACAGGACAAAAAGAAGAAAAACTTTTCAAAGCAATTCTTACATTTACATTTGGAATACATTTGGATAGTAGGTTCTGTCAAAACCTGCTGTCTCCTTCATCTTGATGAGAACAAAGGCGCCGGCTTGGCTTGGAGAGTACATTTTCCCGTGAGCCTCGACCCAAGCGTCACCGTTAGATGCACGCACAATCTTAAAGGGGACATTTTTTCTGTTGATGACAAGACATAGAATGTTATAAAACCAATGCATTCAAAGCCAAAGCACAATGAAATAGAATATTTCTACATAACCTAAAAGAACCAGATTACCCGATTAGGACACTCTAGGATTTCGAGTAAGAGTGGAATGTCCGGGTAAAGCGTACACAATGAATGTGAAAAGTTTACTTGGGGTTATTTGATTGCTCTTGAGAGCAAGCAGCATATCATTAATATAACAAGACAAGAATAAAATACATTTGAGTGATGAGAAGGAATAACACAAGCACACTGGCCTGGTCAGCACATGTTTTCATATATTTTTTTGCAGCAGTGTGGGAATAGCTATATAAAAACAAATCCTTTCTTGAAATTAGCTGTTTATTTGCTTTACAGCAATAATGTGAAAAGGAAGGTATGAAACCACTCACATGTCTTTTTGGACCTCGGGGTCATCAAAACGTCTTCCAATCAATCTTTTGGTCGCGTAGAGTGTGTTCTGTGGGTTAGTGACTGCTTGACGTTTAGCGGGCATGCCGACCAGACGTTCCCCTTCTGATGTGAAAGCAATGACAGAAGGGGTTGTCCTCGCCCCCTCAGCATTCTCCAGTACCTAAAAAAACAAAGGCTACCTTGAGCTGATACACAAATACATACACACACATATATATACATAAAAAACTAACCCATACCTCTTTACCCCTGTACTACTCTATCTGTCCTTCCCTCTATATCTTCGCTGTCACCACTGACTAGGGATTTTACTCTAGAGAGCTTATTGTCAGACTAATGATAACTGTAACATTGTGTCTACTTTACAAGTTGCTTTGAATAAAAGCATCTTCTAAATGCATTTATATATATACATACATACATACATACATACATACATACATACATACATACATACATACATACACACATCTATTCATACTTTTTTTTCCAGCACAAGGAATTCATAAAAAATGTTTGAGATAGATAGATGTGTGTGTCACCTTAGCCTGTTTCCCCTCCATGACTGCCACACACGAGTTAGTGGTTCCAAGATCAATGCCAATGACTGCACCCTTAATGGCTTCAGACCTGGAAATTACACACACATAATTAACAACATAATCCACAATATGGGGTTCGGTGTCCTGCTAAGGACACCCAACCACCGACCTTCCGACTGGTAGTGGGACCCCTTCCTCCTGAGCCACTGTTGCTACATTTAAAAATCACATTATCAGCCATTTCCGTTGTTACTCACGCGTAGTCTCTTCTGTAGATGGTTCTGAGAGCGTCCGGTTGAAAGCCACTCCAACATGCCTGAAAATGCCCAGCAAAATAAAGTCTCTAAATGCAATTTGAACACGTTTTAAACTAGCAATGCAGGCTTCGGGCCTCCCGAGTTGACAGTGTTCAATGAACTTTGGAGACCCGTCCGAAAAATGTTGCACAGAGAGGGGGTGGAGGATTCTCCTGAAGGTCAAATACTCACTAAATTACTACACAATTTAAACCAGCACACCGCATTCTTAATTCATAACTACCAACGTCGTTTAATTAGACGGGTAAACTCTGAACCGTACAATCAATTTGTCACAAATAATAAACCGCAATTAAATATATCTAATTTGGATGAGGCAGAGGAAAGAATGACGTTCCATAAAACCGCACACTGGCTAAATAGCACGCGCGACAATTTACCCAAAATCAGTAAACCACATATGATGTTTAATCTCAGGATGCTGAGACGGCCTGTAGCTAAGGCTGTTAGCATGCTAAGATAACCGACAGACAATGTGTAATTATAAAGCTCTTCGTTGTGAGAATTTTGACACTTACCTGCTTAATAAGAGAGGGCACATTTCTTGCGCAGTGCCTTGTTGGCAAAGCTCTGGACACATTTCTAGCAACACCTAACATCTTGACAATTCAGCGAACTGGCTCAAAAAAACTCGGTTTAAAGATGTTTTTTTAGAATTTAGCTTGGATAAAGAATTTCAAAGGTGATGGTCGCGCAAAATCTAAGCGAGTCACCTCTCCCAATATCGAAATACTTCCAAATGGCGTGCTTAAAACAACAAATCTTTCGGCTTTGGTCGGGAATGACTTTCTACCGCACGGCACGCCAAACGAATTGCGGTCCTCGTTCTGGAATTATCCAACACATGTTACACCATGTATCGTTGGGTCCTCAAATTTAGTCGTCCGCGTATCGCCGGAATTTTATTCTTTCTAAAAAAAATATTAATAACAGATTATAAAATACCAGTTCATATTTTCTTCTCAATTATATCGTTGTGTATGTATTATGCGTCAAGCTTCTGAAAAATACTTTATGAAACTGAAAATATGTTCTTTTTTAGTGATGAGGCGAGAAATGGTCACAACATACAAGTACGTACATGAAGGTCATGATGTAACGAACTCCGATGCGGAGTTTTCACGTGCATTGCATCACAACACTCCTGACGATGTATGCTAATACTCATGCGCCCTGAAATCCCAAGGATGTTTGATCGTATGGCCTACAATTACGCACTACGTCGTCAGGAAGTTTTTAAACCTTTAGTGACATCCATGTTATTCATCCAATGAAATATATCATGTTCAGAAGTAATGCATTTCGTTGCCCAGGAGTAGCAGCTCTACTCCAGACTCCCTCCAGACGGTCGAGCTTCTCATCCTTGGGTCACCTTCTAAGGCTAAGCCCTGTGAAGGATAACAATTGCAGCAGTTTGTAACAATTAGTTCTAATTCTATTTATCACTAACAAGAGACCCTGATCAAAGTATGTGTTAGGACTCACTTATATTTACTAACTTTATAGGGTTCTTTTGTTTGATTTCATTACTAGATTTAGTACTGGATTTCATATGATTTACTAAAGGCTTTTGTTCATTTTAAGAATTATACTCAGATACTGAACTCATATTATGGCTATAGTTGAACTTCAAAATGTCTTATTTTCTCCTATGAGAGAATATATAAAGGTCTTCAAAAAACTACATTCAAGCACAGGTATTTCTTATCACATCTCAGTGGAACCTGCATGGATTGGGATCTGGCCAGGCCAATAAGACTCGGATGCGTCCTGCCAAGCCTTTCTATTGTACTGGGCAGGCACAGGCCAAGAAGATAAATGTCCATTACACCCAGAACTCTGGGCTCTTTTTTGGTAGAGATCCTTTGTCACTGAAGAGCCCGGCGTGCTAATATCCTTTACATGTGACATGAATAAATTACACTTTTGTACTTAAATCATCTCACTGGTTTATTCTGAGGCTTCCGGTAAACTAATCGGGCTAACATAAGCACAAAAGTGAAGATGGACTAATAACTTGAAGCTTTGCCCCCAATTCTATTAAATTAAATTCAATATCATTTATATAGCACCAAATCACTACAAATGTTCCTTTTTACCTTATTTCCCTCAATCTTCATCAAACCAAACCAGGGGCCTCAATTATGAAAATTATTAATTAGATCTTTTCTATCCTAAAAGTGTGGGTATGCCCAAAAGCCTTTATAATAATAGCAGCACTCAATTTGGTATAAAAGGTTCACGTTCGGCCCTCTAAATGCCCACTTCAACCATAATTGGTCAATGAATAGCACCACCTGAACATGTATTTAATTTAATGTTTTGTGGCTACCAATGGCAATCATGGAAAAAAAGATTTAAAAAATGCAGTTTTACATAATTTTACATAAATCGGTGTACTGCTGAGTGAGATGGCAAGTCGGAAAAAAACTCTTTGTTTGTAAGCCACAGTTGTAAAGTCAACAATAAAAAGTCATGTGAGTGGCCACACGTTTTCACAGATTTTTTCACCGAGTGCATTTGGAAACATTTGGAAAATCATTCCAAAGTAGCTTCAGGCAAAAAGTTAAATAACTGTTGATTATAGGCTACTTTTACACTAATTCATGCTGGCAAAAATCAGTTGCCAGTCATCATGGACCAGGAAATATTGGTCATAACTGTTAGAATTGCCTTTTATTTACCAACTTTTTGGTTTGACTTATGACTTTATCACGGAAATAACTCAAATAACTCATCAATGGTTATGCATCAAGGTAGGCGTTATGAGATTAAAATGTACCTCAAGGAAGTACATTTTTTAGGCATAACTATGGTGTTGGAGAACCATTTTACTTGCCATGATGCTGGACAGGATAAGGGGGAAACTATCTGTTATCCATATTATTTGAATATTATGTGAATTAATCTGGATCTTTGATTAAAATGTTGCCGTAACACAGCAGAAGTTTCAATCAATGCTCTGTTTTGTCCACCTCCCCATTCTCCTTCTGTGGGGACTGAGAACTCATTTTGGACCTTTTATTTTCCATCAACAGTTAGAAGCTGACACTGCAAGCTACTGAATTCTGTATCAAGTTAAACAGGTTAGTATTTGCAGGCACGATTGCTTTTAATCACAAGGTTTTCTCCATGATCATATAATCAATATCACTCAAGATTTAAAACATATTTTAATGACATTTCTTAGCTCACAAATACCAAAATTAACTCAGTATTATTATTTTTGATCATCATCAATCATTGCCATAAAAGGTCAACTGTATCTTTATTTTCTAATATTCACACAGTACTTGTGATTAACAGCATATTCCCCCTGAGAAAAATTTGACAACAGACATAGTTTGTGTTTCCCTAATGCTTACCTTATGAGAAAATTAGCAACAATATTCAAATTCTTGACTCTTGGTCGCAGCTCAAGCCAAGTCACAGCTAAGGCGCGTGCCTCATGCAGCTGTATGGAGAATAAATGGATAATAAAACGATAACACAGGCGTAGAAACACATATGACGTTCTCCAGCCATACTCCTGGTAATAGGCAACTTTTATTTAGTCTTCTACATTGTTATCCCTCAACAACTGCCACAGCTGCCCCAGGTGGCGGCCGTGTTGTCTCCCTCAATCCTCCCGGTCAGGGCGGTGGTGCCCTCCGATCCTTTTGGCAGCTGACTCAGCACCAAGGGCTTCTGGGACTTCAGCTTATGTGCCACTGTCATAAAAATGGCCTCCACGTGGTCACTGTTGTGGTGCGTTCCTGGGCTGTTTGGACTCTTGGCGGAAGTCTCGAACAGCGGCATGCAGTGCGCGTCGGCGAAATGCTGCGCCTCGTCCGTGCCCACCTGGACGGAATCCTGAAGATCGCACTTATTTCCGACCAGGATCCTGGGCACCTCGGAGCCCAAGGCGTGCTGCTTGCACTCCTCTATCCACGCCGGGAGGCTCCTGAAGCTCGCGTGATTGGTCACGTCGTAGATGAACACGACGGCGTGCACGTTGCGGTAGTAGTGCTGGACCATCGACTTCCGGAAGCGCTCTTGGCCCGCCGTGTCCCAAAGCTGGATCTGCGGGAGACAGCGTGGAAGCGTTTGAGTTTGAGAATAAAAGTTTTTGTTGGCATCACAAAATCTTGCATTTCCTGTGCTAAAGAGATTTGCCCTAAATTACAACACAACGAGCAACTGTTTCCATGGATGGACACTTATTTTACATGTAAAAAACAGAAAAAATCAGGGAAACAATTGTCCACAGGGATGTAGAGCCATGAGGCAAGGAAATGTAAAATAAAACCAAAGATGTAAATGGCTTTGAGAAATTGTAAAGGTAAAATTCAAATTGGAGAATTAAAAATAGAGCCATTGAAGTTGATATTTCCACAAAAGAATACAAGGAAAAATGTCAACATGGTGAAACCACCGGTGAAATCAAATTCGAACATTTCAAGGGATAAATAGATCAATACAATGTGAAACGACGATACAGATCAATAATAATTAAGACATCATACTAAAGCAGATTTTAAATCCCCTTCATTGCCCTTCAGTTTCCTAGTCATCCTGCATTGTAGGTACCAGGAGGCGGTCTTAATACGCTTCTATTGAATGAGCGGAGGGGTCTGTCTGCTGTTTGGGGTCTGTGATGGTGGCACGGGGGAGTTATTGCCCCTTTTACTTCCTGGAGCCTGTCTTAAATGGCGGTGGGGGCACCGTTTAGGCCAATAACCTTCCCCTGATGTGGTCTGGGTGGGTATGCAGCTGTTCCCCCATTGGGCTATTTAAGTCCGTTTCTGGTCGTGGGCATGGTAGCAACTCTCTTTACCCATTATCCAACAAAAAACATTCAAGATCTCTTCTCTTTGTATTTTACTCACATTCACATGCTTATAAAGCTACTTCTGTGGGATCCTGTGGGTTTAATCATCAGTATCCACAGTTGTGTTTTCATTGTCTTGCTGCCGCTGTTGTTACTGTTTGCGCTCTCTGTCTGTATGTGTATCTGTAGTTGGCTTTCTGTCTGGTTTGTGAAGCGGATCTAGGAACGCCTTGTATTTTATTCATTACTTATCTTATACACATCTTTGTGGTTGCTTTAATCTGCTTTTTTTGCACCCCTCTTTCTCTGTTAACACTAATAAATACTACTTTCAACAACAACAAAAATCTCCCCACTTGTATGATGCTGGTTAGAAATTTCTGTCTGGGAATCTAAACGATTGTAGGTCCAAATCAAAGCAGAGGAATGGACTGAATGAACAGTTTTTCTTATGACACATAACTGAAGCGCACACCTTGATGCTCTCTCCATCAATCTCAACCAGCTTCTCTCTGAAGTCGACCCCGATCGTGGCCTCGGTCTTTTCGGGGAACTTGCCGGCGCAAAAGCGGTAAGTCAGACACGTTTTGCCAACGCCCGAATCCCCGATGACAATGATTTTAAAGATGCGCGTCCTCGGAGGCGGAATGGTCGAATTCGTAAAAGGGCCGCCGAATTGAGCCGAGGGGTCCCGCTCCGCCATGTCCAAATGACGGACAGGAGTGACCGGCAGGGACGAAAAGAGCTGTTGTCTTCAGAAGCTCCTCCAGCAGGCTTTACAAGTTGTGTTGCTAATGACAAAGAAGTAAATGACGAAGAAGGAAGAAGACGTGCGAAGCTATTTTCTAAAAACAGTTCATTTTTCTGTTTCGTTGGTCAGTATTTAGCTTACTTCGCCTTTTACTTCCCTCTTTAAGTCTCAATTTTCAAGCCAAAACAGATGGCCGTCAGGTATAGTCTCCTTGTTTCTGTTGTTGTTCCAGATGCTGCAGCTGTTCTTCTTCTTCTGCTTCGTCTTCTCTTCTTCTTCTTTACATTGACGTCTGTGTGCATTGGGCATCTAGTGGTTGCTTTACTGCCTCCTTCTGGCAGGGTTACGTCACACGTTTAAAATTATTTTTGAACGTCACCCAAAAATCAGTTTTCCTTCATCTCGATAATAATTTATCACACATCCCACAAAATAAACTTGTCTCTTATATATTCTACATATAGGAATTACATTCACACAGTCTTTGATGTTTTAGGATGCATTTAGTATTATTACTGTAACTTATTTAAATTGAATTTCAGTTTAATTTCAATTAGAATAGAATATCTATCCTCTTTTTGCCACCTTCTTTTTATTCCCTTACTGATGTTTTCTTTGATTACAATCAATGCATTTTCTGTCCTTTTCTTAATACAGTTGCCTTGCATGTGTGTAGCATCAACTTTTTTGTGGGGTCCATGCTATTCAAAGTCAATTTAAGACAGCTGAATTTTGTTCTAAAGACTGAAACACAAAAAGGAGTGGGCATGTTTCTAAATTAAGTATGGCAAGTGCTACAAAAAGTTGTTTGTTGAGGCTGTGAAGGCACTTCCTCAACTTTTAAACACACATTTGAACACACTCATTAATTTAAGTTTCTAACAGTGCACAGTAGTGTTACAAGGGAGAGGGTAGAAAAGAGGTTTGCAGAAAGGTTTATGACAGACTGTCGGTGTTTTATAGGAGAATTTAAATTCTGGGTCCAAGGCCATATTTCTATAACTCTTCCTTCCATATGCAGAAGTAGGGCCAGTGTTTTTAAGTGTCCATTGTCTGAAACACATTCATACACAGTATTATATATTCACAGTCTGAAACACTGGAAGTAAACAAAACCTCACCTCACACAATGGGGCCTGTAGTAGGTCACAGGAGAAATCAGCTCTCAAAAAGAGTAGGATCTTATCATGACTTTGAAGTAGAGCGGGCATTCTTTTAATTTGCCATTATGAGCATTTAACCCATAAGAAACCACTGTGACACAGGTGTAAAACCTGTTTAAACTAAAACAGATTTAATAAAAATGGCCAGTGAAACCACTGGAAATCAAAGGTCTTTGGCATTTTGTGGTGGTGTCTGATTTTATTTTAATTACTGTGATAAATGGGGTTCATTTTGTTGGTTTTCTATTCCCTATACATTTCTATTTGGGGGAAAATGTGTATGTGTATTCACGTATAGAATACACATAGAATATATGCCTGCAGCTGAGCGAGAAATTTTTGCACCACTGCTTCCAGAAGAAATTTTCCAGGTAGTGGACTTGTTTCCTTCATCTTCTGGCTTATAGATCTTCCTTATTAAAAACACCAGGGGGCAACGATGATTCAACTTTGAGGAAAAAGCAAATGATTGGGGGTTAGAGATTGCAAATCATCCAAGTCTGAAGAGGCTCTTGTAAAAGGTCTGGAGTGTGACTTCAGACAAACCAGTCTTTAGCTAATTATTGCATCAATGACCCCATTCTCAAACATCTTGACAACAATGTGATTAAAAATTACTATATTCTAAATTACTATAAGCAACATACTAATATGTTTGCGATTAATTTTCTCCAAATAGTTAATAAAATGTTACATTAGAGCAACCCTCAATTCTTTTGAGTCACTATACCGTGGGTGCAGATGTACATGGCACAACAGAGCAGATAGCAAGGAAGGGCTTAAAAAATGTGATTATAACTGCAGTACTCATGTTATAAGTCTTTATTATAGCCATTTCACCTTTATGGTTGGTCCTGTGTGTGATGTTGGGAGGTAATTTCCTGACCCACAGGCAGAATCACGCAGGAGATCAGTTAAAGGTATAAAGGTTTATTTACAAGAGGTTAAACAAAGGGGTTAGATACAGTTGTTAGAGCAAGGAACAGGGTGAGGATCCGGTACTGGTGAGTAGATGGTCCAGGGTCCGGTCAAATGAGAGCGAATGCTGAGAGGGTTGTTTCCTTTAGTGAACCACACGCTGGAGAACGGGCAGGCCGGTGAAGGAGACAGAGGACACCACAAAACAGCAACGGCAGCACACATGGCATGCTTCCTTTCAGTTGAGCTTTGAGGAAACTTGAGATCTTCAGGGAGCCCAAGACACAGGGAGCTAAATATGACACAACGAAAGTAAAAAAATACAAGAGACTATTAGCACTCAAAATCAGGCTGGGAGTACCATCATAGATAATCAGAACATTGGCTCAGAGTGTACAGCACTCAGAGCTGGTGGAACTCTCCATTAGAGATCTTCTCTTACGCAGAAACCCATTCACACACACACACTACACAAAAACACACCAGAATCCTAACACTGTGGAGGAAGATCTCATCATGAAATCTATGTTTTTTGGTTCTCCAGCCAAGAGTTGTAGTGTAATCTGTAATCTGTAGTGTGTAGTGAGTTTTGTGACACTACACCGTGTCATATTGACGTTATTGATAAATACTCACAATCAAAATGAGCTATTTATTATCCGATGCCTCTCTCCTCTGCTCCACTTCTTAAGTCCATGTGTGGTTTGTCTGACAACAATAACTACAATGAAACAAGTGTGCTGAGCATTTGAGACCACAGTACTTTACAAGTTCAGTGTACCCGCATCCTAGTAAGTGAATTTATAAGTTTGGCCTGGTAAAACGTGATGGAGCCTTGCCGGGTACTGACGTTAAAGTGCTACTGTTGGCCCATGAAGCTTCAACTGGTCTGTAGCCAAGTATTGCAGTTCTCAGATCACCTGGTAGGTTTTGAGCCATCCTGACATATCTCAGGTCTCCGGGAACAGGGACAACAAACAAACTCCCATCTCTTTTGAATAAACTTTAAGACTTTCCATTGTGTAACAGTGAGTTTTGATTAATTGATTTGAATAAATACTACTACTCCTACTACCAACTTTCACTTAACTGTAGGTTTAGGTTTTGGTTTATATATAGTTTTTTTTATGTCCTTGCCTTTGTTTTCATTGAGACTCTTCCTTGTTCTTTACCCCATGGGCAAATGTACTCACACATAGAAAGGAAAGGAAGTATTGAGTCCTAGGTGGAGCCTTTTCACCTAAAGTCTGTCCAGACTTCAGGGATTAAATAGTAATTTACATGAAATCAACCCCTATACACTGGTGATCAAGATTGGACAACATGTTCAGACACGTCCCAGTTATTGGCGTTAATCTGGCACCGAGTGCTAATTTCTGTATTTATCTGTCAAGCCCTATTTTACTGCAAGCCTAACGTCCAGTTTCACTGACTCTGCAAGAGGGTGGGGGGTTCAAAAGTGGCGGCCAGCCTCCGGCAGCAAGTTGTCCAGATATACGTCAAAGGAATGACCCTATCAGCCAATGCCAGACAAGTTGATTGTTCCAAATCTGTTATTTCAAGAATACTGAATCTTTACAACATCCCAAACCCCAAGAAAGCTGGTCGTCCACGGAAGACAAATACAAGAGAGGGCAGGATGCTGCGGAGGATGTCAATGAGCAATCGTTTCCACTCTGCAGCTGGAATTATAGAATAGAATAGAATCGAATATACTTTATTGTCCCCTAAGGGAAATTTGTCATGGACATGGAATTGCTCGCCAGTTGTGTTGAACAGGGTAAGGATCTTTCTCGTCACACAGTGTCCTGTCATTTAGGAGCATTTAGACTTGAAGCCCGCTCTGCAGTGACCAAACCTGAGTAGAGTAGAAAGAAGCAAAACACTAGACTAAGCTTTGTGAGGAAAAAGAAGAAAAGGACCAAAGTTAATTTTTTGCTTTTTGCTCGACGACAACCTGGAGAAAAACTGAACCCAAAGTGTGTAAGAAGTCAGATAATTTGGAGGAGGAAGTGTCATGGTTTGGGCCATGTTCACTGCTGCAGGAGTTGGGCCGCTTGTACAGCAATATTTTATTGTGAATGCAAATGTTGAATGCAAAAGTACCCTCTTCAACGATATATAATTCCTGCCCTGCGTTCATCACCCAATCAGCCTGCAGTGTTCATGCAAGGACAAAACTCCCAAAAAAAGGTAAAGCAGTTCCTTGAAACTGAAAACATTTAAATAAGGACATGGCCATCCCAGAGTCTTGATCTCAACCCAATAGAGAACCTCTGGAAAATCCTTGGCGACAAATTTAGGGCCAAGAAACCCTCTAGAGCCACTGAACTGTGGAGGAGACTGGAAGAAGAGTGGACCGCCATCACACCAGAGCCGTTTGAGAGACGAGTGCCGTCCTGTGGCCGTAGATGTGCTGAAGTCATTCAGAGCAGAGGCCTGTACACTTCCTACTAATTGCTGACTGTTGTAACTTTCAGAAAATGTAGTTGTAATCTTTGTCCATGGTAACGTCACTGTTCCCTAATCGTGATCGTTGTATTTTTTTGCTATATAATGTTTTTGTTGAAAAGCCTTGATTATTTTGTGGGGAAAAAGTGTTCTAGTAGTATGATATAGACCCCAAAAAAAGTCCATCAACTGTTGAAGATGACATAGTTTCAGAAAAAATCTGTTTTTAATCAATCATTCTCTAATTTTGATCACCGGTGTATCTTACCTACTTAAGATTGTTCATTGTCGAACCACTTTGATTGAATATTTTTTCAAAAAGTGCAGCCACATGGTATTCAATATCATTTGCAAATTAGAATCGTAATACCATCCGGAAAAGAAATAAATAAATCTTATAAAATTTTAATCTCTTTTGTCTGAAACATGTATGTATAGCATACAAAACCATATACAAGATCCATAGTAAATTTGAACAAAATTATGATTTGGGTATTTATTATAACAATATATGAATAAAGTAAATCACATATTCTTTATATGATGCACAATACATGAAACATAAACTGAAAGTTACATTATCGTAATAGGTTTTTTCTATTTCTTTTCCATATGGGATGTGTCGTGAGCAGATCAGCATCGATCACACAGCATGTAGCCCGCCAGGCTATAAAAGAAAAGGTTGTTTCGTCGTTTTCCACTCTAATGAGAAAACAATTTCATTTGTCTTGGTCCCATAAATCATTGCCACAGTCACCCAACAGTCTGATTTTTACAGTGCCAGTCCACTCACAATTGCTTTTTATTTATCAGCGTGTACTTTGCTGATTCTTTTTATTTATCTATTTTTTTGTGTGTGAGGCAGAAAAAAAAGGATTAAAAGAATTTGGTCTCCATTTAAATTTTTTGTTGATATTGCTCTGCATGTGCGGTTGAAAATAATAATGTCTTTAAGTGTGTGCTCTGTCTTATTTTTGTCAATTTTATGACCTGCAAAGTAGTCTACCTCTATTTCTATTTTCACTTTATCATGTTTGATGTCAGGATTAATGTGAACGCCTGCGGTTTTACAATTGATAAGTGTCCTTCATCCTAGTAAATCAAAGATGACATTTATTCTATTTTTCTTTCACGCGCTGATTCTGTATTTCAGCTGAGTGCTTGTAAATCATTGTGTTTTTGGGTCTGAGGTCTCTCTGGGTGACACCAGATCCAGTCAAAGCCTGCAGTATTCACTGTAATGGAGTAATAGCAGGAAGCGTTCAGATAAGCTTTTCCTTTCATATCCACCAGCCACAAAGTAGATTTTTTCTGTTCATCTGTTGCATGTCGAACGTCTAAAAATATCTAAGAAAAATATTCTCTAAAGTGAAACTCACATTTGCAAACCTCTGTTTAAAACACAGCTAGGATTCATTTATTTTTCCTGAGGGTTTTCGTCAGTGAATGAACTTAACATTATGTGCCTGATGAGATTATTTATTCATTTTGGTCAAGTGTGCAAGTGTGGTACACAAACGATTTATACAGGGAGAGAATAAGATCTTGAAAGCTTTGAATAGAATTTGGCCATATATAATTTTTTCTCAATGGCCACCATTGAAGTAAATTGAGATGCGTGTGTTTGAACTTGTGAGTATCAGAATGGTAAAGCTTTCTTTATATGGAACTCTCTAAAATGTTGGAAACTTAACAAGGGTGTGATAATGCCAACAGCAGGTAAAAATAATGCTGGTACGCCTAATCCTTGACTTTTAGCTCCCTTCCACTGGGAACTGGTATACAGTGACCTAATATCAGGAGTGACTGACCACCTAATGAGGACAAACTGCAAAGGGGTTAATAAAGAGAATTCGTAAAAACAGAAAAGGAAGAAAATAAATGTTATGTTTACGAAAAAATGTGCTTAGTTTAGTTGCAAAACGAGCTGTTGAGGTCAAGTTTACTTGTGTGGAGTATTTCCTTTGGGTTAGGGTTAGGGTTACTACAAACCTATCTCATCCTTTGAATTTCACCGGGACACTGCAATGCCTAAAAAAGAAAACACATGTTCTGCCACGCCTGGCAGGATCTGATTTTGTGGGAAACACATCAGCCTCTTTTCCGTCAGCTGCCAGCTCCTATTCAAACCTTGAGCTATGTTACCGTTTTACTAGTTCTTTAAAACAGAAAGAAATTAGCTGTAAATCTCCACCCTGAAAGTGGCTAGGATAGGCTCCTCCAACGTTCTCCATAAAACACACGACTTTGCTGACGTTGCCTTTCTCAGACTGTGTCATGGGTGGTGCCCTGACGACTCAAGACCAAAACCTATTGCTTCTCTTGTCTTGCAATATGTGTAGTAAATCATTTCAAAAAGACATCTTGCGGACATGTTAACATATTTTAAACCTGAAATAATTTTAAGCTTAACGGGGGATTTAGGACTCTTGAATGAATGACAAGGTGATGCTAAAAGCAAACTAGTCACAAGGCAGGCATCAGCCGATGTTGATGGGCTATGGGGGGAAAAAGCAAGTCAATGAATTTTTATCATTTGCCATGAGCTATATATATTATATATATGAAAAATGTAAGAGCTGTGGAGAAGACTATGCAGGATCAATACCCATGAAGCAGTTGCATGCATTTGAAAATGTTATATAAAACATTCAAACTAACCTGAAAGAAAAACAGATAAGTTGAAACTGTGTTTTGTGCATTTGAATCTTATGACTGAGCGACTTCTTCTTGCACAGAAGTGCCACTGTCCTGGTACCAACATCCACTGTTTCGGAAAAACAGTACAGCCATCTTGACAAAAAGCAATTTTTGTGCTGGCATGACCTGAACAAGCCTCTAAAAATAAATGTAACTGGATTTCGTATGAAGTCAAGCTTTCGAAAGCAGATCCAGCACACCCATTAGATCTGGTTGGAAGACAGGGGGGAAAACTGGGCCTATACACACTGTAGATTCTCCATACCTGGAGTCTAAAAAGAAAAACAAAGATTGTGGAGTAATTTTCCATGAACTCTAAATTAAAATAAACAGCAATTTGGGGTATCTTAACCATTTTTATCAAGCCTGGAGTTGTGATCTGATACTTTCACACCACCACACTCTTGCTGACTCAGTCTTGATGCTCGGCGCTATAATGAAACTATGCCATGAACGGAAATGAGTTCTTCTAATTTAGAACAAACTTGAAGTAATTCAAATCATAGAGGCATTATTCAACGTTAAGCGCACCTTGCTTTAAATAAACACAGCTTTATTAGGGAATACAGTTGTGAAACAGTCCTAAAAGCTTCTGAATTCCAGGTCAAGGAAAATTTGTAAGTAGCATAAACATATGTGTAGTGCGGTAAACAGTTTAGAATAAGGCAGATTTGTTTCTTTAAATAAACTATAGGACGTGTTTTATTAGGTTGTTAGGAGTTTAATTAGTAAAAAAAAAAAAAGAAGAAGAAAAAAAGATAGGGTTTTCATTATTAGGTTTAGCGGTTGCCCGCTAGTGGCTGAACATAGACCCTGCATTTAATCGGGATATACTGTATGAAGAATCCACATTCCCCACATTAGTCTGTCATTGGGTTGCGTCTCCGTCTTCGGAAAAGGGTGTTAATTTCCAACGCAGAGTCCAATCAATTAAAGTTAAACGCATTAGCAACGCCGGGAACAGTAAAAGTCTCAAACAACTGACAACAAAGGACAACAATACTACAAACCACTGCAGCCCAGACTGAGTGGAGCCAGTAACTTGTGAGAGAAGATCCAAACCGCAGCACGACCACCGCAACACTTCCAACTCCAAACACCAAAACATCCGCACCAAGTTTTTTTTTTAAATGACAGTATTTTCATTCTATTTGTTTCGCATCTTCAGCTGCCGATTCAATATTTGACGCGAACTCCAAAAATAAACTTGTTATAAGTGTCAGTATCGAGGAAAAGTACGTTCACTTTGAGCACTTTCTGATCTGCGCGCTACAGAAGACGTAAGAGGATATTTGAAACGCTAGTCATTACACATCACAAGGTAAGAGTGAAAATTTAAGAAAATATACTTTATGATAATACGCGTATTTTTGTATGCAACAAGCTGCTATACCTTGGCAAATGTAACGCCAAAGCGAGAACTATATTGTCGGTGCAGCGGAGTGATATGCACTCGGTCTTCCAGTCTACTTGTCTCCGGGTCCTGGAGGACATGGCATGGGGAAACTGAGGGAAGAACCGTTGAAAAAGAAGACAAAAATACATGTAGGACTGCAAGGACTACAGTCGAAACACTGACAAGGAGAATCCCATGCGTTCGGTTTATCGAAAGGTATGTGAAGAAATGAGTGTTTAACGGTTGAATTGTAATTAAGTTAAATGCAGTGAGCTTCATCAGCACGGTACGTTGCCCGGGGAGGCTCGGCACACGGGTTCCTCCGGAGGATGGCTGCGCTAACAGCTAGCCTAGCCTAGCTTGGCGTGAGTTATTAGAAGTTTTTAAAAGTTTTCTTGGAATGGAGAAAGAGGAGGCAGGGGGGGCATCATAAGATAACTCCTTTGGTTGATAATACCGACACGGCAATTGAACATTAAACCACTTAAAATGAGTTTAGTACGTCTCTCCTTGTGTAGACATGGATAGTCGTTGTAGGGCGTCTGACTAACTTTACGCCAAACAAGCTGCATTCTGTAAAACAAAGCTAAGCTAGTTAGCAAACTCGAAGTTTCTTACATTAACGACATACCGGAGTTTGTCCACGTCTTTTAAAATAACGAAAGGCATTTTTAAGTTATATTCCCGTTGAGTGGGTCAGTAAGAGTAGTCATGAACGCTAACTTTTACTTCTGTTTGAGGGATTTGTGTAACATTTGATGCGTCTTCACGATTCCCGTTTCTCTCTCTGGGTCGGTGGGGGTGGGGGGGCGCGCTCACTTCTGACCGAACCGTACTTCCATATTGTCCCTTTCGTGTTGTTCATACTTGACAACTCCAACGGATTCATCTGCGGAAAACAAACGAGTTTTATTTAGAAGTTTATAAAGTTATCACGGACTCCGCGGAGGTGAGTGTCACACTGCCATCCGGTAGTTCATGGCAGAGGAGACCAAACTGTACTGTGACGTGATTTGTGTGGGATTGAATTGAACGATAGCTTCGACTAAAATCATAAACGGCATTCCACGGGCTTTTGACACGTCTTAAGTCGTGTTTAACAATTAGTATGTGTGATAATCATTCATTTAAATCCAAACTATGTGCTTCCTACACAGTACAATATGTGTATAATATGCCGGTTACTTTTATGTGGAGGTACGTATACCTTTTTGACATTTTAACACGTAGAGTGAATGTTTGCTCAGGACTAGTTGGGTTTTTAGGACCTGGTTGTTGTTTTAAAGTAGTCAACTATCAGAGCAACTTGTCCCAGAGTATCAGCTCTTTCTGAAAGATGATAATTGCAATGTAAATCACTGCTGTAGTTGTTCCATTGGTGGAGTCATATATTAAGTGTTGTTTATGCTCTTTTATGCATTTTAGACATGCCTCTGTGTTGTTGAGTTTTCTTTTTCTTTTTTTCCAATAATGCTGTGGTGAACCAACAAATCACCTGGTTTTGGCTAAAAGTGGCAGAAAAAATCCTTTTTGCTCAGGTTGTGCTTGAACAACTGCCCTGACGTAGCCTGGTGAACCCCAGACAAACTTCCAACATTCACAGGCTGATGGCTTTTGCGTTGGCTTGCGTGTCTTAATTTGGTTTCCCTGAGCTTTTCATGTGCATGCAGAACAATGAGCAGTGGGAGTGGGTCCAGTGCTGTCTGACAGCTGTGGTCTAGAAGGGAGGAATCGGGCAGAGATGAGATGAAGGAGGAAACGGCTCTTTGTGGTTACATCCGCTCTGACCAAGCCAGTGTTCACAAGCCCCCAAACAGCTGCTGTAGGCTGCATGTGTCTGACCCCAGCTTGTTTGGTCTGTTAGTGCCATGGTTTTTGTTCACGCGGTGCTTTCTGAAAAGCACTGTTGCTGCAGTTGGTTGCTATTCGTTTTTCAGATCGATCTCGAGACATTCCTATGTAGTATAAGGTCAATTTTACTATGGTATTGAGGTTTTTTTTTTTTGTTCGGGGGTTGTACAGCAGAACTATCCTTTGCATATGGTCACACTTCTTCACAGCCTTGCTTTGGCTGTTCATCCTACGTATTTGTCACCCGATTTCCACAAGCAACTGTGAGTTGTACATAAAATATCTATGAGACAATTGAGTCATCCGGGTCTAAGCATGTCTGATACTGCTTTATGGAAATGATGCGTCAAACTTTTTAAAAAGTGGGTCGAAGGGGCTTTTTGTCAGTTTATGAAGAATAGTGGCTGTCACATTCTCTGCAGATGTTAGAACTTGGTCAGGCCTTAAAAGAAAACATATTCTTGATTGCATTTACTACTGTTAGATGGAGAGGCTGTCTCAATGATACTGATTGAATTTATTTTCCCATAAGCTCTCAGCCCTCTCTTGAAAACTGCTTTCTCTTTTGCTTTGCAGAAGGGTGGCGGATCGAGACACTGACTTCACACTGGTTTGAGGAGACAACTGAGAGGAGCTGGGAGAAATGATCACTTTCGTATGAGCAGTGTGTCAAATCTAAGCTGTTGAGTCGCTCTGCCACGTCCTGCTCTCAGGTTCTCCAGTCCGTTCCCCTCCCTCCATCAGTGGTGGTGACCCTACGCCGGACAGCTTGCTGGAGGGCTCTTCCTGAGCAGCAGCAGCTGCGTCCTGCTTGCTGACTCCCGTCCCTCCCCTGCTTCCTGTCCTTGGTCAGACAAGGCTAAAGACTCCTCTACCCTCACCCCACCCCTCATTTCTGTCAGTCTCTCGTACTCTCACACACTTAAGGCGGTTCTTTTGGGGTTTTTTCGTCACAAGTTCAGACGGTTTGACGGTACCACTGCTCTTTGGAGATAATTGGCAGGTGAATTTTCGACTCCTTGGACTGACTTGGGGTGACCGTTCGCCACAGAGCTCTTCCTCTTTCACCTACAGCACAGCTTGCAGCATGACCTCCATGTCCAGCCTCTTCTCCTTCACAAGCCCGGCGGTCAAACGCCTGCTCGGCTGGAAGCAAGGAGATGAGGAGGAGAAATGGGCAGAGAAGGCAGTGGATGCGCTTGTGAAAAAACTGAAAAAGAAGAAAGGTGCCATGGAGGACCTGGAGAAAGCCCTGAGCTGTCCCGGACAGCCCAGCAAGTGTGTTACCATCCCCAGGTCACTTGACGGTCGCCTACAGGTTTCCCACAGGAAAGGTCTTCCTCATGTCATCTACTGCAGAGTGTGGCGCTGGCCAGACCTTCAGTCCCACCATGAGCTCAAGCCTTTAGAGGTATGCGAGTACCCATTTGGCTCCAAACAGAAGGAGGTCTGCATCAACCCATATCACTACAAGCGAGTGGAGAGCCCAGGTAGGCACCACTAGTGGTCATCTTTTTTAACTGGTTCTACACATATCCTGAAACTATTATATCGGTTTTGTAAATGACAATTGGATCAACGCCTTTTAAAGGTCCCCATTCATTCTCATTTAACGTCTTCTCTTAAATTTTAAAAGCACTATACCACAGACATTGTCTTGGCCAGACCTGCGGAATCTTAAACTCATTAAACAAACATACAAAAAAAAATCAGCTTTTATTAAAGTAGTTGGAAGGGCATGATGGATCAAACTGGAGTGGTTCTGTGCACATCTTTTTAGAGCCCAGAGGACTGAAGAGCTGGTAAACAAATCCTCAAAGGTCAGGAGGCTGTCATCACACAAGCCTGTTCTACCCGCCTCCTCCATTTCACAGAAAATCGATATCACTAGCTCTAGGAGACTTATTAGATTATATGCCTCAGGCACTCCAGATTGGGTGTGGCATCAGAGAGTGGCTTACTAAATGCATAAACCACTCAGTCTAAACTCCCAGCACTTTCTCCTCACAAACCTTCCCCTCCTTTGTCTTCATGTCATTGACACACACGCAGTCAAAGAGAACCCTGACAGAACGGCCTCACTGACACAAGCTTTCTTAGGATCACCAGCCCGCTATTGACCGGTTCAAAGATGTGGATCACATGTCTGTCAGGAGAGACTGCACGTTGTAGCATTTAGAAGAAAAGGAAGAGAAGAAAAAAAAAAAGAAAAGGAACAAAGCTTGCTGGGTATTTTGGAGGGAGTTTTCCTTTGAGATGGGAGCCTTTAAGTCATCGGAAGAAGCGCTGGTATTTTGGAAAAGTTAAAGATATAATGTAGATAAATTACCTTTGTATCACAAAAGGAATACTACTTTAAAAAAAAAAAAGAAGTTATTTAGCCTGTTTAAAACACATTCTGCTTTCTGCGCGAAAGCACACTTAATTTTGATGTGCCACCTGGTTGTTTCCATTCACATATTAACATTATTAAGTAACAGTTCCTTCCAAACTTTTCCTCCTTCAGGTTTTTGACTTTTGATAATTAGACACAGCACCTAACTGCTCACTCCCTAACTCAGTGTGTGAGTCAAATCAACAACACAGAACTGCGTTTAAAGGTCTTTAAGCGGCTGCTTCTCCTTACTTTCTGAGCTTGTTGCTGGATTTTCCACTGCTGTGACAAAAATGCGAATAAAAGAAAGTACACCATTTGAGAAAATAGCCTCAGTAAAGGAAACCGTCCTATGATGTTGACATCATTTTGATTTTGTTAGGATCAAGAGTTGGCATTATTGGAAATTAAACAGAAAACTGAGTTATTAATTGATCTTTTTATATGATTGTGTGGTCCGTGTAAACTCTAGTCATTTATCAGACGAAAATGCCACCATGTCTGTTTTAGCACCAATTTAGCACCGAGTTCTGTTCTGTTTCACTTCTGTCATTTAAGTTGAATGTTTGGGTTTTTAACTGTCCCACTTTGTCCATCCATGCAGTGCTCCCTCCTGTCCTGGTACCGCGACACAGCGAGTTCAACCCTCAGCACAGTTTGCTCGTACAGTTTCGCAACCTCAGCCATAATGAGCCGCACATGCCCCTGAACGCCACTTTTCCAGAGTCCTTCAACCAGCCCCACAGTGGGGGAGGCAGCAGCAGCAGCGGCGGTGGCGGCGGCGGCTCTTTCATATCTCCCAACTCTCCATATCCTCCTTCCCCGGCCAGCAGCGGTACATACCCAAACTCTCCTGCCAGCTCGGGACCCTCCAGTCCATTCCAGCTCCCAGGTACACCTTGCACACTCCCCGTCCCGACCTTGGGAAACATGCCAAACTATTGTTTCCCTGAACAGTCATTGTTTAGCAGCTAACAACATGCTAAGCCCTCACTAAGAAACACTGGCATCAGATGAGTTGTTTTTGTCTGTTCAGTTATTGTTGTAGCCAAAGTTCAGGTCAGTGGAGTGTCTCTTTTTGTTGGTTTGTTTTTACCATGGCAATGATTCCCAATGACAGAAATATCAGCCTCCCATCTTTAGCTTTCAGAAAAGATTTTTAAAATGATACAGGCCATATTGTGAACCGCTACACTGCCGCCGTTTTCCATCTTTTAAAGCTGATCTGACCGCGCTAAGTTCTGATATTCATCCAAATTAAACTGCCCCCCCGCCCCCTCTAAATGAGAACAAATGAAATGCTAGCTAAGCAGTGTTGACCAGAGCCAGGGCTTCTGTCTGCCATCAGGATGCTAACGCAGTCTGTCAGGCAGCATTTTTGCCTCACTGCCACACAGGACAGAGCAGACGCCAATAACCTGACTGAACACCTCTTAGCCTCCACTCCATTTACTCTGCTTTTGTAAACGGCGAAAACGTTGGAAAGCACTTGTGCTTAAGTCTGTGTGCGGATGCTATGCCTGCTGCCGTGTACGCGTCTGTTCCCCGTGCCCTTCTCTGCATCTGTTCACATCTGCTGACACACCCGCTGCCAGCAGGCAGATGGACATAAAAGGGTTTTATTTTCCTTTGACCCTTAAAGACGATTTACGATTGAAAGGATGTGAGCCTTCATGATCGCTGTCCGTGGAAGAATTCTAACCCCAGAAATGATCTTATCGCGATCCAAGTCGAGGCGTTCTGCTTTGTATTTCTCCTCAGTGCCTCAATAAAGGCCTGAAAAGCTCATGTTGCATCTCTGTAGGGAATGGGTTAGCATGTGGCTTAGTGAGGCGTGTGTGTAATGGGACACCATTTCCGGGGTACGGATCTTTGGAGGATAGTCTGAAGCTAAGGAGGTGTGTGTGAGGGTGTGTGTGTGTTGGTGTGTTTTTTTTTTTTGTATGTGTGAACGACCATTTGCTAGCAACAACTGGTCTCATCCTCACTAACTGCTCTTAATGTCTCAGCTGACACCCCACCCCCGGCCTACATGCCCCCCGATGAGCAGCTGGGCCAGGAAAGCCAGTCCATGGAGACGAGCAGCAGCCTAGTGCCACAGAACATGCCCAGAGGTGGTGAGACTCACACACAGTCCTATTAACTGCACAAACAAACCAATCCAAACTCAGAAGAAAAAAAACAGACATTTGACATTTAAAAGTTCTGTCCTGGACGTAAGTCTGGAGAAGAAAAGGAAAGAAAAGGGAACTGCAATTATGTCTCCTGTCTCACATAATAGAATGCTCCCTACAAGTGACTGAGGTTTAGTTTGAAAACGAATTGTAAGATTGTCTCATATTTCCAAATTAAGCTCAGGTTTAGGGAGAGCTATCAGGCTATTTAAAGTTCAAATGGACCAGATTTGAAATATTAATGCAGCAGTACACAATGACTTTCTATTTAAAGACACAGCTGTGTATTGATGATGTTAGCAGAGCACATGCCTCTCTCTCTCTCTTTTGCCTCTTATTTCCTGTTTCCTGACGGGGGCTGCACGGAAATGAAAGCAAGATTTCTTTTTCCCCCCTTTTTTTTGCTTTCTGATGTCTGTGAGGTATAGTGGGCAGATCCTGTGATTAAAACCTTTAACAGTGGCTAGGGAAAAAAAAGGAGCATATATGTGACATGCAGGTTTATCATTGTGGCACGGGTTTGAACAGTTGGTGCGTCTTAATGCAGCTAGTTTAAAAAAATAAATAATTGAATAATTGAAAATACTTTTTTAGACCAGCCTTAAATTGAAGCTTCTTAACCGGGGAGGGCGGCTGTTGTGGTAATTAAATATATAACATGAATTGCATTTGAGACGACATTTTTCCCGCTCAGGTTTGAAAATAGTCTTTTCCTGTGTAGACACTACAAAGTTACACGGTTGGAGACATCTCCGCACCCTTAGAGGACTCTGAAATGAGCTATAATCCATGGTATTCTCTGTCCTGCCGCAGGAGACCAAGCAGAGTGAAGCCTTGATTAGCTAATGTAATGACCGACAGAGAGCGATACCATCTCCTGCGAGGAAGGCCGAACAGCAGAGAACATGGTCTAAATTCTGTAGAGAAAATGCATCGCAGCTTCTCTGCATTTGGCATCAAGGATGAGCTTTCCGAGTTCACCTCAGGATCCACAAAGCGCCCCAAAGCTGTGCTTTAAATCAAGTGGTCACTCGAGAGGTCGATCTGCCCGGTGCACTGGGACAGAGCAGCCACAGAACGGATATTTAACATTTAGTAACAGGTTAGGTTTAAATGCTCACCGTTTTAAACCAAGTTACAGCAGCAAGAAGGTGTTTACTATGTTAACTGAGCTCCAAGCCAACTGCATGGTCTGTTTAGGTCTGGGCATCCTGAGTCAGGCAGTCTAGTGAGGAGGAATTTTCAGATTTTCTTCCACTTCCATAAATCTGTCTTATAGAGTTCTGGGGGCAGCTCCAGATATGCTTAGATGGGGTTTGTTTGTAATTTAAGGTGTGTTTGTTTCGAATATAGATTTTGTTCTTTTGAACATCGTCTAGTATATTGTCATGGTTTCATATCAATTATCTAAGATTGATTCATTAATTAAATATTTCTGTCAGAGAAAGGGATGCATTTTTAAATCTTACCCCCAAAAAACATCAGTTTTGTTGAAACTGTCCATCTCCATTTTAAGTCTTTAGCTAAAAATATCTCACTGCGGAACCTGCATCTTGGTCTGAAGCTTTTTTTTATGAGTTACCATTTCAATAGTTTCTTCATTGGGTCCAAGAGAAAATACTTAACCTGGGCTGTTGTTCCCAGATGTTCAACCTGTGGAGTACGAAGAGCCGAGCCACTGGTGCTCCATTGTGTACTATGAACTTAACAACCGCGTTGGAGAGGCCTACCATGCGTCTTCGACCAGTGTGCTGGTGGACGGCTTCACCGATCCGTCGAACAACAAAAACCGCTTCTGCCTGGGCCTGCTGTCCAACGTCAACCGCAACTCCACCATCGAGAACACCCGCAGACACATTGGCAAAGGTTCGAGTAACGGCTGCGTGAAACCGAAGGGGTGGGGGGGGGGGGTTAAATGAGATGCTCCGTATGTTGCTGTCTGCAGGGGCTGTGGTCCACATGCTCTCACGGTTCCCCGTCTCTGTCCACCAGGTGTGCACCTGTACTACGTGGGAGGCGAGGTGTACGCCGAGTGCCTCAGCGACACCAGCATTTTTGTCCAGTCCCGTAACTGTAATTACCACCATGGCTTCCATCCCACCACCGTGTGCAAGATCCCCAGTGGGTGCAGCCTGAAGATTTTCAATAACCAGGAATTCGCTCAGCTGCTGGCCCAGTCGGTCAACCATGGCTTTGAGGCGGTTTACGAGCTCACAAAGATGTGCACAATTAGGATGAGCTTTGTCAAGGTAAGGGTTTTGAGCGGAGTGGATGATTTCACTATCAGAGAATAGTATATACTGCTACTGGGATGATTATCTCTTTAAAACGCTCCATTCTGCCTCTCCTCAGGGCTGGGGAGCAGAGTATCACCGACAGGATGTCACCAGCACCCCCTGCTGGATTGAGGTGCACCTGCACGGGCCCCTCCAGTGGTTGGACAAAGTGCTCACGCAGATGGGTTCACCTCTTAACCCCATCTCCTCAGTGTCCTAATAATGGATTTTTTAGGAGCATGGGAAGCCCTTTAACTTTTAATTTTTTTTAAATTTCACTATTCCCCTCCCCCCATTTTCTTTCTTGTTTTTTTCCATGTCAATCTCATTTCTCTCCCTCCACTGATTTTATAATTTAAAGCTGTCTTAATGGCTGAACTGTTTACACTTACTTTGGGAAGGGATATTGAACTCTGGCTGGAAATTCATCAGCAGCCGCAGCCGATGTGGTCCTTTTTGCCAGAGAATACCCGGAGAAATCGAGGGACGGGGTAACGCCCGAGCAGAACTTCCAACATGGACACACTACTGTTTGACAGTGCTTCAATACTTGCAAGATAAAGGGGCCCACGTCAAGCTGAATCTGTCTTTTTATTTTATTTTTCATCAAGTTTTATTGTTTTTGACAAATGATTTTATTACTATTTGTGTAGTTTTTAAATGAGCAGAACAGTTTGCTTCTGCCTGACAATTGGAAATTAATGGAACACTTTTCTTACAATTTTGACTCAATGTCAGTTATTTCAGTTAAGATATAGGCACGATTATGTTTACCATTAGATTCAAATATAACAGATGCTTTCCTTTTTTATAGTCTACTGCTAGAAAATGGACACTGAGCTACTGCCTTTTAAGAAAGTTATGTACGCCAACATGATAGTTTTTGATATGGGAAATCACTGAACAAGTTTAACATGCCATAAGCTAACAACATTGTGAATGTTACATCTATTGCAATAGAGGTAGTCAAATTGTAACCAGAGAATGGACACCATCATTATGATTCTACTTTGTACTTTCAAGTTCAAGTAAGAGTGGCTGTATTTTCCAAACTCACTGTATTAACAATATTGTGCACTCATGGATTTTGTGGAGGCATATTAAATTTTGGCGTGGGTACCAAGGCATTATGTTGATAGATAATTGACTTCATTAGCTCAACTAAATAAACAGGTTATTTGGTAACGATTATCAACGTTTTTTTGTGCTTCTAGTCTGGATCTGTTTTATACTCAGTATGTGTAAAATGTGAAATTATTAATTCCATTTTTCACCAACATTTGACCACCTACCTTCAACTTATTTAGCTATATTTCCTAAAGGGAATTTTTACCGAGAACTTTGTTACTTTTGATGGCCCATTTTTACTTTGGTTGAATATGTACATCCCCAGTTTTTGAGCACCTCAGTTCCAAATTTAAACTGAATTAAAATATTTAATGATATACTAGTGCATTTGTGGTCCAACTGAAACTGATAGTAATCTTTCAATTCAATTAAAAATATTTCATTAATCCTCAAGGGAAATTATATGCTGATGTAACTCATTTAGTTGAGAAGTTGAAGATTGTGATGAACAGGAAAGACCAGTTAATGGCTGTGTTTGCAGTTTAGAATTGAAATGAAGATCAGCCGGAACTCCTACCTGTCAAATCAGGTTATGTTACTTTAAATAAATATTTGAAAACCTCCATGCTGTCCTCTAGTTAAAAGCAATGCGGGTTTTAATCCGCTTCAGTAACTAGTTATGACTACGTCCTCTGGTTTTCTATTGGTCCACGTTCAAAATTTACCGTAAAACCCCTAAAACGTGAAAACAAAGCTCAACACAACAACGGAAACCTACCGGTGCAGCACAATAAACGAGTGGGTAAATGTCCGTCAGTTAATAATTGTTCTTCTCGGTTGATACTTACTAAACTATTACATGGACTATTGAACAAAAAACCCTGTCGCTGTTGCAAAGACTAGGCCTTGCGTGAAATTACCTTATTAACCGGATGTGAGGTGGCTCGCAAGGAGCAAGCCAAAGATAAACACGTAGACAGACGAACGGGGGTGAGGATATCTTACAATTTAGATGCTGCTGTGAAAATGTTCAAATGGACTAGTTGGTGAGAATATAAAGGCGTTAGCTGTCAGCGAGACGTTGTAAAATTAGTGAAGGAGCGAGGCTTCTGCAGACATCGAGTGGGTGAGTCCTGCAGAATAGTGACAGCTGGAACATTAGCTAGCTAGCAAAGCTAGCTAACTTGCGCCAGCTAAAACTTGCTAACTAACCGAAAATTCTGTTTGACAGGCACCGTGAGCCGAAAGTAAATTTAGCAACGCAAAACAGGTGTACGTTCTGGTGGTTCAGCCTCATGTTAACGGCTTACAACGTTACAATGCAATATGAATTAATACAAGCAGCTGAGCTTCCCGGTTTGTCAGTATTGCCGTATGAGTAGCCCCGTCACTGGAAGGGATTATCTTTCCTTTTTTGTGAGGTTTTGGAGCGTATCGTCGTGCTTTGTCTTAAATTAACGTCTCCAAGGACTTGTTGAAAAGCTGATTCCTGCTTTAGTGGATGCTAAAAAACTTCACTGCCGAGTTAGCCACCCGGTGAAGGCAAAGTAAACAACTGCTGTTGAGCATTTGATGTGGAAGTGTCTCTGAAACTGTCCGGCTACGAGCGTATCCACCCAACCCTGCATCCACCGGAGAGCTGCTGCCACCGTGGCCCGGATGGCCTCGGTTGTGTGTGTTTTGTGTATACACTTTTACTTGATTGTGTAAACATTAATGGTGCCATGTTTTCTTAGGAAGTGTGTGCATTTTTAATTTTTTTTTGCACATTGTGATATGGGGGATATGTCAATTGTTAAAACGACTACAGTAAGATTTGAAAGCGAGCGGCCTTTCTTAGGCGTTTCTTTCTTTATTCAAACCACTCCAGAGGTTTTATTTTCATTTTCAAGGAGTGCTTGAGAGCAGGTTTCGTTTCATGCCAAAGCCTGGAGATTGACCCAGATCTGACATACTTTTTCTATCATTTTTCAATTTTGTGAAGGACTGTAATGGTACTTCCCCCCAAAATACAGTCTCATAGCTTTAAAAGGGCATTTTGTGTCATGAGCATAAGCATGAATGCATAAAGAATGTTTAATGTGGGAAATATTTGTTAATTGGGTTCAGATTAACTTGGAAGACGGTTTCTGTCGTGGATTAGATCTCTAGCTTTCTCGAGGGACATCCTGAAGCTCCTCTTTGGATGCTGGCTGACTTTTGTTCCGTTCTGTTAGATGATTCTGCAATGTTTCAGTAACATTGAGTTCAAACCTCCATCTGAACTACTGCCACAGATTTTTTCCTCCATTTCCAAAAGTAGATGGATCAGATTTATCTCACGTATTCTGTCAGGTCTTTGTTGGATTGTTCTGATTCTTTTCTTAAGGACACTTCTTCCAGATAGCATAAATCTGCTGTAGAAAAGGTATTTTGCTTTCATAGGTCTGCACTGCTTCTTTTGTCCTCCTTTTCCTCAGTGTGCCTTTATTTTTAGTAGTTCATAGCTCTTTGGAGGTCAAAGTTTTGGTTTAAACGCAAACCAATAAGGTGGTTCCTTGTGGAGAGGACAGGACTAAAAACAAGTGGAAAATGTTTGGAGACCTTTGCATGGGCTGGAAAAATCTAGCTTCTGTTGGTACCAGAAGATACAGAAATTAATTGTAACAGCGTTGTACTGCTGTTTTTTTAAAGAAAATGAGAAAGAAAAAGTTACTAAGGTTCCGCAAAACGCTTTTTTTTACACGTTGCTCTGCCTCATTGGTCGGCTTTCACTTTCAGTAACATGTCTGTTCCGTCTCATCTGCCCGCCCGCCCCGCAGCAGCATCTGCAGCTCAGTCCAAAAATGGTGCGAGCAGCCTTAGTGACCGCCACCAGTCTGGCACTGACCGGCGCCGTGGTGGCTCACGCCTACTTGCTCAAACACCAGTTCTACCCGACCGTGGTCTACCTCACCAAGAGCAGCCCCAGCATGGCGGTGAGGGCAGCGCCACGATGACTTCACTCTCCCATGGCGGCACCTTTCCAGAAATGCTTTACGGTTTCTCCCCTATTGTCCCTGCCGTCAGGTGTTGTACATCCAGGCCTTCGTTCTGGTGTTTCTGCTGGGAAAGTTCATGAGGAAGGTGTTTTTCGGGCAGCTGAGGGCCGCTGAGATGGAGGTACAGTCCCACGTCGGTTCAGTGTGCGCCCCCCCAGGTAAAAAAAAAAAAGAAACTGACCGGTCTTGGTTGTCCACATGAACTCGCCTCCGCCAGCACCTCATCGAGCGCTCCTGGTACGCGGTGACGGAGACGTGCCTGGCTTTCACCGTCTTCAGGGACGACTTCTCGCCTCGCTTCGTGGCCCTCTTCACCCTGCTGCTCTTCCTGAAGTGCTTCCACTGGCTGGCCGAGGACCGGGTGGACTTTGTGAGTCCCGCCTAGCAAAGCACATTTACACAGGAGAGGATGGAGCAGATGGCCTGCGGTTACTGGGTGTTTACCCGGTTTGGATAAAGACCGTTACAGTTGATAGCTTAGTGGCACTGAGCTGTAAATTTCGGCTTTAATCTAAAGCAAAACCTGTGGAAATATGACCGCACGTGCATAATATTTTCTTTTTCCCGGATGTATCCAATTCTCCGTCAGATGGAACGGAGCCCAAACATATCGTGGATCTTTCACCTGAGAGTTTTGTGTAAGTACACATTATCAGAATTCACTCCTCCTGCTCTTCTGCCCTCTTGGTGTCACTTTGTTGGTTCTGACTGAATGCACATGAGGCACAACTGAAACTGAATGCAAAGCAGATAGAGGCAGGTGAACATTTGCAACATTTAGTGACGTCTTAGGCCAGAATGACCAACTTGCCATCGCACTAGGTCTTTCTCTGTACTTTTGATTAGGGCTCAAGAAGTAGATCTACTTTTTTCTTTAGTTTTTTTGTAAGAAGACAATGAAGTGAAAAAAGGGCGTCTTGTAACTGTTTATCGTCTGCAGCTCTCATGGGACTGCTGGGTGTCATGGACTTCCTGTTCGTCAACCATGCCTGTCACAGCATCATTACGCGGGGAGCTTCGGTCCAGCTTGTTTTTGGATTCGAGGTTTGTCAGATTCTTGCCTCTTTTTTATTTTTTTTGTAATGGAACAAAAAGTTTATCAAAGTCGTCTTTGTTCAATTGAATCAGGAGGGCCGATTCTTTCATTCATCAGGACTTTAAACTACATCTACTGCTCGTATGGTAGAAATCCAAAGCTTGAGGCTAGTCCTGTAAGGCCTCAGAGGCCCCGATATGCTGAGCTAAAGGCTGTTTGTGCACTGTTCAGTTTATGGCAGAAATAGTTAGCAAACATTGTTTTTGTTTTTTTCCTGTTTTAGTGGGACCTCATTTAAATATATAAGCTTGTGAAAATATTTGTTTCTCTCTTTAAAAAGCCTTACGGGTATAACACCCACTGTTCAGTGAGCTACAATTAGTAGAAACAGCTGACTCAGTCCAAAGTTAAGATATTAAGAGCAGATAACCCTTGCTGATCCGCGTGTTTTTTAACACCGGCCCCTTCGTGTGCTCCCCAGTACGCCATTCTCCTGACCATGGTGCTGACCACCTTCATCAAGTACGTCCTGCACACCGTGGACCTGCAGAGCGAGAACCCCTGGGACAACAAGGCCGTCTACATGCTCTACACCGAGCTCTTCACAGGTGCTGCGCCCACTCCTGGTTTCACCCTTTAGACTGTCAGCGTATATACCGGGGTTGGGCTGGGGGGGGGGCGGCGGCTGCCACACTGAAACGTTCCACATGTTTTTCCAAAAGGCTTCATCAAAGTGCTGCTCTACATTGCCTTCATGACCATCATGATAAAAGTCCACACCTTCCCCCTGTTTGCCATCCGGCCCATGTATCTGGCTATGAGGTGAGAAAAAACCCCCAGAGACGCATAAATAAGGGGAAATGCATTATTTCCTTTGTCTTTTTTACAGTGCATTATATCGTAAACGGGACGATGGCACATTTAGGTAACCGACCGCTATGAATCTGTGTTCCTGTCTCCTTCCAGGCAGTTCAAGAAAGCTGTGACGGACGCCATAATGTCTCGGAGAGCCATCCGCAACATGAACACGCTGTAAGTGTGCCTCTGAGTGGGGTGGTGGGGGGTTGAATATATCCCGACAGCACTGGGCTGAGGGATTTATTTGTTCGCCTGCGATCAGATACCCCGATGCCACGCCCGAAGACCTGCAGGCCTCGGACAACGTTTGCATCATCTGCCGAGAGGAGATGGTCACCGGTGCCAAGAAGCTGCCTTGCAACCACATCTTCCACTCCAGGTGAGTCCCGAGAGACGCCAAGACGCCTCCCAAAGGTCAAAGGTCACAGACTTCAACTCGCACCCCCGTTGCTCGGCAGCTGCCTGCGCTCCTGGTTCCAGCGGCAGCAGACCTGCCCCACCTGTCGCATGGACGTCCTCAGAGCGTCCAACAACAATCAGGCTCAGGCCCCAGCCCAGGCCCCGCCCCCGGCCCCCCCCGCCAACCCTCCAGCAGCCCCGGCCGCTAACGGTGAGCCAAAACTCTTTCCCGGGTCCGTGTTTATACTCTTAGAGGAGCGGAACCACAGCTAGGTGGGGGTTCTGTACGAGTTTAAGCGTCTCTTTTTTCCTCCATCTTGTTTTTCTAGTCCCTCCAGGCATGTTGCCAGGCTTCCCTCCCGGCATGTTCCCTTTCTGGGGTCCTTTTCCCGCCGTCCCTCCACCGGCTGCAGCAGCCCCGGCTCCTGGTGCCCCCGATGCCCCTCAGGGCGGTGCGGAGGCAGCACAGGCAGCAGGTGAGCTTGCCCACAAACGCCTCATTCATGTAACGTTTATGTTATTCTTTTTTCTTTTTTTTTTTTGTTCCTCACACTGGGCTCTTTCCTTTTTCCGTCAGGCACCAGCCAGCCCAGCACATCCACTACAGACACAACTACACCCGCAGCAGCTGCTCCCGGATCAACAATCCCAGGCTTCCCTTTCTCTTTCCCCCCTCCCCCCTTCCCCAGCGCACCATGGCTGCCCATGCCTCCACCCCCTCCTTTTGGTAAGAGGTAGAAATCGCTCAAACCCCGACAGAAGACGTCCGACATTTTCTGCTTAAGCGTGACGAGATTTGTCCTCCCCACCAGTGTCGTCGATGCCCCCCCCGCCTCCGTCTCTGTCTCGGCTGTCTGAGGAGGAGCTCAGGGAGCTGGAGGCCGAAGGCCGGCGGGGGCTGGAGGCCAGACTGCAGTGTCTCCAGAACATCCACACGCTGCTGGACGCCGCCATGCTCAACATCCACCACTACCTCAGCACCGTCGCCACACTTAGGTGAGTAAACCTCAGAGAGGACGGGGCGCCGGCCGTTACCAAAAAAGAAAAAAAAGGATTCAATTCCGCTCTCTCCGCAGTCCCCCTCGGCCCGAGGGCAGCTCTTCAGAGGCCTCCTCCTCGGAGGCCAGCGGGACAAACTCCGCCCCCTCGCCCGCCGCAGCCGCCGGTGAGCAGCTCGACACGCTCGCCCATCCCAAAAACGTGGCTTAACGTGCCCTAACCGTGTCCGTCTACGCTTTTCCAGCCGAGCAAGAGAGCGCCAGCGGCGCCGTCTCCTCCCAGCCCGCCGACTCCACCTCCTCCGCCTCGGAGACGGACAGGAGAGACAGGACAGACGAGGGCGAGGACCAGGACCAGGACCAGGACCTGGACCAGGACCAGAACCAGGACGGAGAGCCCAACACAGCCGAGCTGAGACGCCGCCGCCTCCGCAAGCTGGAGACGGCCTCCCCGTCGCCCCCCCCTCCGGACAACTGATTTCCTCGCAAACCGACTCAGGCGAATCGCTGTGGACCGACAGGAACTCTGAGCCCCGCTCGCCACGGCCTCGGTTCCTGGTCGCCTCCCGCCTTTCCACGGGGGCTCAGGTCTCTAACCACGTCGGGCAGACCTCGGGGCGGCGGGGGGGAGAAGACGATGGACGGTTTCCGTGTCAGACAGCATCAGCGTCCTTTCCTTTTGTTCTGTTTTCGACTCTCTGGTCTCTCCGAATGGACATATTTAACACTGGGGCAGCGGGTATTTGTGACCGTACCGGGGCGGGACAAGCCTCTTCCTCACAAAGCACTCGCGGCCGGTCGGCGTTAGAGGTCTGCGTTCACTAGTCTAACTGTCCGTGACATCCTGCATAATTTTCTTTTTTCTTTTTTTTTTCCTTGTTTTATCGGTATAACGGTGTTCCCACTGAGCACGTCCACACGTTGCAGATAATCTGAATCTCAAACCGAATCGGTAAAGAAGTCAGTCAGCTGCTTCAGTTTCCTTTCTTTTCTTATTTTTTTTTTTTAACACACGTCCCTCGGCCCCAAACACGCCGACCTTGTAACGAACCGATTCACGTGAACGTGTACATACTGTATAAAGAGTTTTAATAGGATGACCTGTACAGAAGGCAGAATAAACAGACTGAAATGGTGTTTGGACGCCACTCGTCTGGGTCTGACTGTTCGCTGGATGATGCTGGAGCTCGCTGTTTCAGGAGCACTCGGGTTTTCTTTTTCACAGAGGTCCCCCCATCCCCTTCTGAGGCTGTTAAATTAAAACTCACAACAACACACCCGTCAAAATGTCCCTTCTTTTCCACCGGTCTTTATGTCCACCACCTGCTGGGGGAACAAACAGACCAGAGCTTTTGTTGTTGCTGCTCATTTGTGTTGAAATGCAGAAATGGAACCATCCTAATGAGATTTGAAACTCCAGACCACAGAAACAGCTTTTTGACCTCATCAATCTTGAACGAACAGTGATCTGGTGAGATTCAACAGAGAATATCTGGCTTTGAGATGCATGTAGAAGCGTCTGCCTTGAAAGTTTCTTGAACAATTTCGGGAAGAAAAAAAAAAAGAAAAATCATCTGCTCAGCCAAAGATGCTTGATTTCAGAGATTATCTTTGGAAAAACACGACAGCGGTAAGAATATCAGATTTTTTTGTTGTTGTTGCAGTCAGGATAAACATGGCAACTTATTTATTTAATTTTTTTAAAGGACAGCCTCTATTTTACAAAACTTTCATTTAAACCTAAACTGATCATGACAGTTGATTGAAACAATAAATGGAAACAAACAATTCTAAAAGCACAGAGCTGCATTTTCTCAGGATCACATTATTTTGTGGTAAATAAATAATCTTTATGTAGAACAAAAAAATGGGTTCGTAAAAGTTTTTATTGCTTTGTTATATACACAGCTCATGTCAGTCTTGTGATTTAAGTCAACACTGGTGAGTGATTAGAGTAACATCAGATTCTAGGCTCCAGTTCAAAGGTAGAAACAGTTATAAATAGATTTGCGTTAAATCGCATTACACAGGAGGGTAATGGGATTTTTGTTTTTTAAAAATCAGCTCTTTAAAACTAGGAGCATTTTATATACACGTGGCACCTCAAAGGTGCTGCAAATACTGGCCCTAAAGGATGAAACGCCTCCCACAGAAAGTCAGAAAATGGAGAGCTTTTTTTTAAAAAAAAAAAAAGACTGATTTGTTAGAAAACCAAATGAAAAAATGAGTCATTTATCATTGGTATTTAGTCGGTTTCAAAAGTATATTATGACCAGTGCCTGTCACCAAAGGTAATAAAACACACTAGTACATTTAGAAAAAATCTACAGTTTACTGAGGATTCTGGAATGTAAATAAAGCTAAATGAGACGCGTCTACAAAGAGTGAGAGTCGACTTGTGTGTACACGCTACAGTCTTGTGGCTTTCACCCAAGAAGGAGTTTGCAGGTGGAGAAAAAAAAATAGCTCCAGGTAAGTTTAGCTGGCTTATTCCTGCCCATTTTGTTCCCTTTAAACTCAAAACAGAGCAGCACATTGTAAATAGAACCACTCTTTTCTCCAAACGACAAGGTGCGCGTGCACAGTTTTCCTGAGGCTCTTCAGTGCAAATCTGCTCACAGCTGGAGGTACGTTCCAGCTGTGTGTGTGTGTGTGTGTGTGTGTGTGTGTGTGGTCCCATCTTTGAGGTAAGCGTCTCCACGGAGACTGGGATGTCAGTTCTGGGGAGTGGAGTAGAACGTGTGGTGCTGCTGGCTCTGGTCTGGAGGATTGTTGGCGAACAGGAGCGGAGCGGTTTCTGACCCATACCAGCTGGAAGCCATAGAAAAAAACAAACATTTTATTTAAAACCGATTGGCTTGCGGCGGTGAGCGCGGCGTGTTTGCTCTGGCAGTACCCCGCATTTGACGGCGCCGCCCGTGCCCAGGGAGCCGGTATCTCGTCGTCGCTGCCTTGTGGGTCATCGAAGAAATACGGACGAGGTAACACCCTGTTGTTGATGGCCATGCCGCTGGTCTGAGAGAAGGATGGACAACACCGAATGACCCTTTCTGCTCGGGTACCGCAAAACTAATGTCACACACGCACACACTGATCACCTCCTGAACCGGCCGGCGGACTCTGAAGATGAGAATAAGCAGGCCGGTGGGGAGGAGCTCCCATATGAAGAGGATGGCGCCGAAGGCCAGGTAGCCCCTGTCGCCGAGGTCGCTCTGCAGGTCAGCCTAAAAAAAAGGACCCGCGTTTACGCACACCGGTCGCTCTGGGACGGGGGGGGCGGCCGGTCCCCAGACGCTTTACCTGGTCCGAGACGTTGTACCAGTCAAAGTTGAATGACTCAACCCGATGGCTCTGGGACAGGATGAGGGCCGTCAGGTTGTAGCAGGCGCGGCTGGCGAAGAGGAGGATGACCGCGGCGCCCAGCGCGGCGGTCCGGCACACCGTGGTCCCCTGTGAGAGCAGATCAGACTCAGATCGAAGCTCACCTCATTTTGTGCCGCCATTCTAAAGCCTTTTACAGCCACACAGAGGCCCCGTTAGGCCTTGTGATGTCACCTTGCTGATCAGGTAGGGGCTGGCGGAGCGAGAGTGCCGGGTCAGCAGCAGCAGCATGCTGGCCAGCAGCACGGCGTCCAGGATGAAGAGCAGGTCGTTGACGATGACCCGGACCAGGACCAGCGTCCAGGTCCGCTGGCCCGCCTCGCCCCTGGTGCCCCGGTCCCCCAGAGCCGCGCACACCACGTTGACGGCGAGGAAGAGGACGCTCAGCGCGGCGTACACACAGCGCGCCGCCCACCTGAGGGTCCAGCACCGGGGTCAGTTTGCAGGACGAAATCTTAATGCCTCATTTTACTGAACTAAAAACACATAACAGGCAGGTTTTCTAACATGCATTAACAACCTCTCTCTGTCTCGATCTGTTATAAACACACACACAAATATTGTCCTGCTCTTAACTGTATTTCAGAAAATGTTGTGTCTAAAATTGTTTACATTTCTATAAATATGCACAAAAAAAGACAGTTTACAGAGTAAAGATGAACTTGAGATAGGTATGGGTGTCATGATTACTCAATCAGGCCAGCTGGTATCCTTTTATTACTCAATAAAAGGAACTTTCACCTAAAATGACTAAGTTAGAATATGTTGTGGCTCATTGCTTTATGCAAAACTCGGTCTGTAGATTGTGACCAATATTTATCAGTAATATGTGTTTGTTTGACAAGGACACCATTTTCAAAAGCATTGTTTCAAAGCTGCGGTGGCAGCCTGAGTGCAGAAACTGCCTCCCAGTAAATCCTGCTGAACTGATTAGATCTTGTATTTGTAAGTACCGATTCTTTAGAAAAACTGCAAGAAATTTGAATTAGTCATTTCCAAAATATTTCCCCTTTTTTTTTTCTCTTAAAGATAGTCATGTCACACTATGGTGAAAATGCCTTTTTTTTTGTTTGCTGACTGCATAAAAATTGGAATGTTACTTGTTGTTTTAAAAAAAAGGAATAAACATTTATCTGTGAGTACATAAAAGTGTGGCTTTGATTGATAAAAAAAAAAGACTTATGTCTGTCTTGTCCAACTTACAGTCTTCTGTTCATGTCTGAGCTGTACGTTTCCTTCACTTTGAGCAAAACCTGTGGAACAAGAGAAGAAAATATGACCTCAGTTTCCTTTGGGGGTTTTTTGGGAGTGCCTTGCTCCTCCCCCTTTTGCTTTACCTGAGTAAAATACAGGTTGATGAGGCTGAGAGTGAAGAACTGAAGACACACGGGGAAGCAGTAGAGCATCCAGTACACCGCCACGGGGAGGTGGTTGGCGGCCACCGCGTTGTGGAAATAAAAGGAGAAGAGTGTGGTGCGCAGGGCGGCCCAGAGCAGGCAGAGAAACAGGAAGACGCTCTGGTAGCTCCATCTCTTGTGCCTGTAGAGGTGGAGCAGCCACAGCTGGGCGTAGACCACCAGGAAGAGGCCCGCGTACAGGCCGGTGTAGAGGATGGTGAAGCCCAGCTGGACCGACGGGGCCACGGCCGGCCGCAGGGGCACCGGTGGGGGCGGGGTGGAGGAGTTGGGGGCAGGGGCCGCTGCGCCCGGAGCCTCCATCAGAGCAGAGGTGGGATTAATAAGATGTCATCACCACTGGGAAGCCTCTCTGCTTGAAGAGTTTACATGGAAGACCTGGGGAGGTTCACAAGAAGTCATCACATAGAAACATGAAAAACGGACTATTTTCACCCCCTGTGGGATGAAACGGGCTCTCCCGAGGATCGTTCCACAAAAAGGAACACAGAAGACTCCACTTATTTTGTCTAATATTAGCCTTCCCCTCTCATCCCTCCTACTTATGTCCCAGAAACTGTTCAAAGTCAAGACTCCGCCTCACTTCGACTCCTCTTCCCTCATCCATCCTCGACTCTTCAGGCGGGAGGAACTGAGATGGGCGTTGAAGAGTTTGATGGCTACACCAGGAGAAAAAGGTGAGCTGCTTGGTCCGAGAGTCAGAGCAGATACCTGGGCTTTTAGTCAGCCTGGTTATATATCGTTGTAAAAGGTTTTGGAGGTGAATAGATTGTCTGTGTTGCCATAACAACATAAAGGATGAATGAGGAAGTGTGGGTTTATTCGGGCTCTTGGCAACACCACGCGTTACTATGACCTTCCTCTGTGATTTGAGCTAAACAGGAAGTGGCCCGAACCTCGATTGGCTTAAAGCAGCCCAACAAAATCCCCCTGCATGTTCAGGAATTCCTGTAAAGCAGTTCACTATGCGTGGAAGCTTTTTGGAAGAAAGATGAGCATAGAAAAGTACCATTTTATCTAAAAAAACATTTTTTTTAAGTTTTTAAAAAAGTCCACAATTTGAAGAAAAACTGAAACCAAGCATTTGATTGTGTATATAATTTGCTTTCACTTCCTATTTCATATTACAGTTTTATCACGGCTTCACTGAGATATAAATTTTGTTTGTTTTTTAACAGGAAGCATATGTTGTTATTGTGAAAATAAAAAAAACTTTAACCATAAAGGAGGAGGTTTCCCATCCAAACTTAACAAGAAAAGCCAAATAGCAGCATTGTTTAATCATTCGTGGAGAAGTTTTAAAAGGCTTCAAAGTTCGTGCCAAGGTCAGAATCTAATCTTAACACAATTTAGAGTTAAACAATAAAATGACCACACACGTTATCCTAACAAATAAGTACACTTTTTCCACAGATAAATAACCTATATTGTATTTAACACTTCAGAAATAAATACATATCTATATATATATATTGTTTTTATTCTCTTTAGAATCTAAACGTGTACATACCCGTTTGTATATTCAAGTAACCTTTGAAACCTATGGATTCCAGCTGGCCTGTCTTTACTTAGGTCTTAGGAAGATAAACAACCGGCTGTCAGATAAAGGTACTCGACCACAGAGAGGCTAACGAAGGCTAACTTTGACAACTACCGCAAATATTCCGCATTTTTTGCGAAACCCTCTTAGTTTTGCTTTTGCTTGCGCACAGAAAAGCAGTAAACAGAAGCAATATTTACGCGTTTGTCGTCAGTAAACAGACCTTATTTCGGGTGAATGTGGAACTCCGGGATGAGCAGCCGACGACGTTAATTCCTCGCTTCCGCGTACGATCTGCGTAACGTCTGATGGGCGGAGCTACTGGTTTCCGACTCCAACCGCCAATCAGCAGTTACAGGAAATCGCGGTTTCTTCAAGTTGTTGTTTACCTGTCCCATAGAAGAAGACGCATTTAAAATTGGATTAAAACCGATTTTTTAAAAACTACAATACTGTAAACGGTGTACTGGGCCACTCTTAATTGAACATCAGCGAGGGTTTACTCTCCTACAGCCCGGCTTCACCCGCATATTGGCTCTTATCGGAGTTGCGGCTAAACGTGAGTGCAATTTACGTTCCTATCCGTCCGTTAGCCTCGTGGCTAGAAGGCGCTGCATTATTAAAGCGGTCCAGTATGCCGATGGTGCTGCGCTCCAGACGCTCAATTCTCCCAGCCCAGGAGGGTGAGGTCGAGTTACAGGCAACCCCGAGAAGGTCGAACCGCCTACACGAGAGAGTGGAGTACGAGGTGGGTGCTTTTATTACTCAGCCTTTCCGCCTCAACTTCCTCCGCCGTCGCCGAACTTAAAACGGCCACGTAGCTCGCTCGCTAACGGCTGCGACGTTAGCTGTTAAACTGGACGAACGTACTCCCCGAGAAGGATTCCGCAGCGACCATATCGATTTTGGATTGTCGCCCTTAACTCCCCATTTATGGTAAACTTATTTAGTACCGGTTTAATTTAAATTGTTATCTGTTCCGAGCTAACCTTAACGGCACCTTATAGGAGAGCAGAGCCTCTGCCCCGGAACTTAAGTTATTCTACAGTAACTTTATCATAAAAATGCAATATAGTGGGTTTGTTACATTGCGTGTGGGATGTTACTGAGTCACTTTAATGTATATTTAGATAACAAACCCCATGAGTTGTGAAGGCTTGGTATATTCGATACTGGTGTGTTTGAACGGCATTGTGGAATACATTGTTCCAGATCATTGTCCTTTTATTGCCCGAGTTTCTAACCGATGCACTCCTGCCAGGAGTCAGATGAGTCCGAGTCGGAGACTCTCCCAAATCGAGTGATGGAGAGGGATCCGAACGAGCCGCAGGAGGAGGAAGAAGCTGCTGAGGAGGCAGGTCTAACGGTAAGCAATAAGTCACCCGGCAAACAAACGACAGGCCCCCCTCTCTTTGGCTGATGGACGCTGCTCTGCAGAGCCAGGGCCAGCAGAAATGCCTTTAAGGGCCTAGGTGTGGCACAGACCTCTCTTTTTAAAGAGCCCCGAGCTGAAATGATTCTGCTGACCTTGTGTGTGGGCTGCTGCAGCTTTACCAGGAAACACATCCAGGCTACCTCTAAAGTGCTCTGAGTCACTCCGGTCCAGCAGTGTCCAGCTACAGCACTATAAATCTGAGGGTTAAGTCGGAATAAGCCTCATCTTTGGATGGTTTTTGGAAGGGTTCGGTGTTACACAATATCAAATGGAAAAAGGCAATTTTACAAGGAGGCGAAAAAATAATTTTTCAGAATAATTCAACTTAATATTAAACTTGACATGATTCACATCTGCTAGTAACAAATAGTTGAAACCCTATAGATGGCAAAACACATTTGCCTTTTAAAAGAAAGGATTTCATAAAGATATGTTCTTGAAAAATCTGCTTTTTGCATTTTCATTTGCAGACCTACTTACTTCGTCTTTCAACACCATTTAAAGTGCTTTTCAGAAGTTCTATCTAATTTGGACCTGACATTGCTGAATAATATCTGCCACTCAACAATTGAATCCTTTTTCTTTTTTTTTTAATAACTTAATGCTTCCAGTGGCATCAGTCCAGATCCTAACAGGCCAGTTCAGCACATTGTCTTGTCTTACTAAGTTGTGATTAGTTATATATATATATATAATTATAGTGAGAATGCTATCTTTTGGTCCCTTCATGAACATTTCAAGGCATTTAACTAATTTTATTCTTCTTCTATAGCTATTGTTCTTCCACTCTCCAGGTTATCTTTAAAGGATCCTTTCCTGCCACCTTTCAATGCGCCCTTAAGCTGATGGTTTTCTAAGTTTAATCTTTTTTCGGTTTTCTTGGGCATCTCTTGGTGCCTCCATTCAAGCATTTTCACAGCTCTTTAGTAGAAACAGCACTTTCTAGTTATTGTTGTTGTCTTGCTGAAGTAAGCATGGCCCGTCAGCATTTTGGTCAATTATCAGCTTAGCTTTGAAGTTTATAACCCTGCAGACCTATATGAGTTGATTTCTTTAACATAAAAATAAGCCTATATTCATTCATTTTTTCACTTTTTAAAAAACACCACTGTGCAAAAAATGTTGAATTCCCCCTTTAATTTTGTTTAGCTTCCAAGGAGTATAACTTGTTCTTTGGGCTTTCTGGTCCTTCAGAGATGTTCTTGGGATATATTGGATGCTTTTTCTCTCTTTTTTTGCCCAATCCGTGCACCTGATTATCCGCAAAGGGCTGCGTTTTTGTCTTTATTAGGCCACGTGAAATAGAACCAATAATCACTCGAGAGCTTCCAAAGAAAAATAGCTGACAGGAGGAACCAGTGTCTGAACAAGGCGCCTCCATAGAAAATGTGACCACAGCCGGCTTCTGGTTGTTCCGAACACAGAGCCGTGGTTCCCACAGCAACAGATTGTTGGGTTTGACTGTCATTGGAAGCTTAAAAGATGCTGTTGCCCCGGCGGCGCTGCTGTTCTGTGCAAACAAATCCCGCGGTGCACCTGGGAGGAGAGCTCATTTAAATAGGTGTGTCCACCCTTCTCAGAGCTGCCCTTTTGCATGCTCGGAAGTCATCTGTCCGCCCGCAAGGCAGAGATCCAGCCTGAACGGGCGAGCCGGGCTGTGAGCGCTTAATGTTGGCTGACTGCTCGAGTTCGCACAGTTCTGAACAGACCGGTTCAGCTCTCTTTGTCTCCCCTGCAGCGGCTGAAGGACTGCAGCGTCCTGCTGGATCGCTTTCACGCCGACGACGACGAAGCCCTGAAGAAAGATCCGGAGGAGAGAGAAGACATGAGTCGCAGAGGGGGGAAACCCGCCTCCCGGATCCCCACGTTCCAGAAAAGGCCCGTCGGCAGCAGCCCGGGCGCCGAGCCGCCGGCCCCCAAAAGGGACGCCGCCGTCCACGCCGAGAGGCCGGCGGGCGGAAGCCAGGAGGCGCCCAAACCCAAACCGCCGGAGGCCGGGGAGGCGGCGCCCACACCGCCCCCGTCGGCGTGCGCCCCCAAGCTGGGCTCCGACGCCCCCTCCGCGACAGGCCACTCGGCGGGTCAGAGCTCTGGGATCGCCGTGCCCAGAATCTGGACTCTGCCAGAGCCCGTCCACAGTCCCCTCCTGACCGCCAGCCCCAGGCCGTCTCTCAGGGCCGGGCACGACGGCGCCAAAAGCAACCAAAGCGAAGCCGACGCCACCCCGGACGCCCCCGCCAGCTACCTCCCGAAGGAGGGCTCCCTCTGCCAGAAGCCGCAGGCAAAGGTCACGGTCTCCGCCTCCGGAGACACGGACAGGCCGGCCGGGAGCATCCTCAGAACCCCCACCACCCCTCTAAAGGCCATCCCCGTGGAGGCCATCCCCGTGGAGGCCATCATGGACGAAGAGCCGCCGTGGGAGACGGAGCCCCCGGAGCTGGCCGAGCTGAAGGACAGCAGGTCCTCGTCGGACGCCGAGAGCGAGGAAGGGGGAGAGGAGGAGGGGGCGGAGGAGGAGGGGGCGGAGGAGGAGGGGGCAGATTGGAAGAGCACAGAGGAGCAGCGTGGGCACCTCGTCTACCGGTCAGAGTCCCCGGACCTCCAGAAAACAGCTGACTTCAATGACTCATCAGAGGAGCCCGCCAAAGCCAGCTCAGCAAAGTCCACCGGGGTGAGTCCCGCCGTGACCGGTCGTCCTCTAACGTCTGTTCGGATGTTTTTAGCCGGTTTCATCTGCCGCATGTGACAGAATGTCACCACGCCCCGCCGGGGCAGCTTTGGAATGCCGGTGATTTACTGCCACTGTGGCTCTGATGTAACCCGGCAGTTAGAATCTCTCCCCCTCTCGTCCCGCAGAGCTCGGGAAGCTCGGGTTTTTTCCTCCTCTGCCTCCTCCCCGCCGCTCTGCTGCTGGCGGCAGGCCTCGGCCAGCACGTGTGGCAGTACGGGCTCCCTCTGTCCGCGGCCCAGCTGGCCGCCCAGCTGGAGCTGCACTGGCTGGAGGGCTTCGGCTTCTCCCCGGAGCCCTGCAGCACCGACTGTCGGCAAGTCACACCAACACTCAGATCTATCTTTAAGGGACTAACAAAATACGAAGTATGTTGATTTAAACCTGTGCGTAAGCCTTATCTTGAGTCTCCATCTCAAATCCTCAGGGTGCGTTTGGTGGAAAGCATCCCCGAGGGCCTCCACCAGTCGCCCTCTTTGTCCAGCATCGCGGACAGTTGGCTGCATCTGCTGGACAGGGCCAACAGCTCGGTCCACATCGCTGCTTTCTACTTGACACTGCGGGCCGGCGACCTGGACTCCTCCAGCCCCTCCGATTCTCAGGTCAGCCCAGGCACGGGGGCCTCACGCACACATACACATACACACACATACCCGGCGGCACGATCGAGCTCGCGTTAAACGCGCCCCCGCATGTTTTTTTTTATAGGGGAGAAAGGTGTTTGAGCGGCTGAAGCAGCTGCAGTCCAAAGGCGTGAAGCTCCAGGTCGCCGTCAACGGCCCCCAGACGTCGACCAAAGACACGGCCGAACTGGCTGCCGCAGGTGAGGACTCCAGATACGGCTCCAAGCACGTCCGGGGGCAGTTCATTGATCTTGCATCTCAAGATAAACCCCCCCTCGCTCTCCGGCAGGCGCAGAGGTCACTGAGGTGGACCTGAACGCGGTGACCGGGGGCATCGTCCACACCAAGCTGTGGGTGGTCGACCAGAAGCATCTGTATTTGGGCAGCGCCAATATGGACTGGCGCTCGCTGACCCAGGCACAGCAGCTTATCTTTTTTCCACTTTTCCACTGTTATTTTTTTCTCATCATTTAATATAGTAAACAAAGAAGACATTGTAAGATTAAATGTGGCCTATAGTTAGCCTCTGTTAGTTACTGTTAGTCTCTGATAGCTACTGTTAGCCACTGTTAGCTTCTTTTAGCATCAGTTAGTGAGCGTTAGATGCTATTTCTGCTAATGGTGCGCTCTGCGGCTCACAGGTGAAAGAGTTGGGCCTGTCGGTGGAGGACTGCAGCTGCCTGGCTCAGGACGCCTATCGGATCTTCGGCGTGTACCGGAGCATCGGGCAGACCTACAATGGCTCCCTCCCGCCGTACTGGCCCGCCCGGCTGTCCGCCCTGTCCAGCTCTGAGAAGCCGCTGCACCTGAACATCAACGGAGTCCCGGCCCGGGTCTACCTCTCCGTACGTCTCCTCCTCTCACATGCTTTGTTTCATCGGGGTGTGGTTCTACTGATTATTAAATCCAAAAAGTCCCAGAGGGCACCGTAACGGGTGGAGAATGGGGAGGGTACACCCATGCTACCAGCTCACATTCATTCCCAACAATAAGCCCACGGGCAGGGGGGTAATCAACCCGGGCGTTTTGGATATCCATCAAACAGATCTAGATCAGACAAAAGCAGCGTTCGTCTCTGATGTGGGCAAACTGGTTCCAGGTTTGCTCCCGCTCGCTCTAAAATTCAGACTGCCTGTGCTGCCTTCCCTTTCTACAGAGCGCGCCCCCTCAGATCTCCGCCCGCGGACGCTCCGATGACCTGTCCACCATCTTGTCCATCATGGACGACGCCCAGGAGTTCATCCACATCTCGGTCATGGACTACCTCCCACTGTCCCAGTTCACCGAGCCGCTCAGGTGCCGCTTAGAGCCGGATGTTTCGGCTAATTCCTCAACGTCTTTTTTGTTTTTTTTAACCGATCAGTGACTCTGTCCAGGTTCTGGCCCGCCATCGACTCGAGGCTCCGCGCGGCGGCGTGCACCCGAGGAGTGCAGGTCCGGCTGATGGTCAGCTGTTGGCCCCACTCGCCCCCCTCCATGTTCAACTTCCTGCAGTCGCTGCTGGTGCTCAGCCGGCCCCCGCTGAGCTGCAACATGGACATGGTACGCCTCCCGCTTCATAAGGGCTCAGACCGCAGGAAGGCCCCCGAATCCCGAACTCAGTTTCCTCTTTTGATTTTTTTTAGAGAGTGTTTACGGTGCCGTCCACAGCAGAGCAGGCCAGCATCCCCTTTGCGAGAGTCAATCATGCCAAGTACATGGTCACAGACAGAGTCCTCTATATAGGTAGGCCGAGCCTCCCCGGAATGTTGGTGTTTGACATGGCTAATAGCAGCAAAATATCGTGTGAATGACATCATTTTTTCTCGGCAGGGACGTCCAACTGGTCGGAGAACTACTTCACCCACACAGCGGGCGTCGGGGTGGCGGTCAACCAGAGCGGCTCGCCGGTCGGGGAGGGCCAGCGGACCCTGCAGAGCCAAGCCCAGGAGCTGTTCCTCAGAGACTGGGACTCCCAGTACGCCGCCGCGCTGCCTGACGCCGCCGCGGAGGCGTGCCCGCGCAGCCCCCGCTGATTAAAGCACTCCGCTTCTCTGGACCAGCACCCCGGCTTGCTCCCGCCACTTGAACTTCAGTTTGCTCATTACGCAGGTTCCCGTTTGCTGTGAGAGGGGTTTTTGTTTGTTTATTTGTTTGTTAAACGCTGACTGTGGTTTTATCGCTTCCGGCCGGCTGGCGTTTTCTGTACATAACTGCTAGATCTGCCTTTTTCTTTTTGTATTTAGTTTTTTTTTTAAGAATTGTTTTTATACACTTATGGATTCGAGTGCAAAGATTTGCACATTTTTATGCCTGGAGCATTTAGTATGTTTTCCCTTTGTTTTTAAAATGAAAAATAGAATACGGTTGTGCCAAATGGAACTGGTCTGATGCAGGGAAATCCGTTTCCAAAGAGGTGTTCTCACCACAGCCACGTTAACGCTGCCGCCCACCCAAAAAGGCTCGACATCCCCCTACTGTAAACGCCTCCATCTGTCATTTTTAACTGGTGACAAGCTGTCAGAAATACTGTTTGCATGGGTAATACTGTTAAAAACCAAACAAAAAAAAGCATCTAATTTTAGTGTGTTCTGGACGTGGGAGCATCTGTTTCCTCCATCAGCGCATTACCAGGCTCCTATTGTACGTCGGACATCCTCATCCTGTCATCGGCCCACACGTGTTGAAGTGTAAGACAAAGGGACCTCCTGGCTCTGGGAGAAACACCAGCTCACTGACAAACAGAGCAGTTTACATGTTTAACTGTGGATAAAAATCTGTTCCTGCAAATGTCTGATCAGTGTCGTTCGTTTCCATTTGGAATTAGTTTTTTTTTTTTTTTACCATAAGGTCATTGTTAATATTTACCATTTCTACCCTTAACGTTTAAAATGAATTATGACAGCAAGAAGAAGTGGTAGTCAGAAGGTTTAACCAAAAGAGCTGGTGTTCTGTTCACTGAACACTGGAACAGTAGCATTCTTAAACCAAACCTTTTTCTTTCCTAACAACTCATTTAATAATCGTACTTTAATATTGGGAATAGATTTTTGCAACACTAGGTAAAATAAAAACTGTGTCCCTTTAAGTTTCTTTATTTTCACATTTGAAAACACCAATAATTAGTATATATACATATCAAAATAAGACAAAATAAAAATTAAAAGAACACAAGTCCATGTTAAAGCTGAATGTTTGTTCAGTGGGTTGCTTGCCATTCCAGGTTCATGCCATTACTATGTGTGTGTGTGAGAGAGTGTGATATCTACAAGACCCCATTATACTCATCCCTCTGGCTGTTTCTGGAATGTTTTTTGAGTAGTCTCTGATCACCACAGCCGTCCGAATGTTTTCCGATCCGTGTAAAAGGGGAGGCCTAAGCACGCTGGGCCACAGACGCTCTCATTCCATGGAAACCTGCACGCTCTCTGTCTGCTGCTGCTGCTCCAACTTCCTGGCTATGAGGCAGGAAAAGCAGAGAGATGCATTTGCACTGACAATATTGACAGCATGTGCTAATCTGCTGTGTTAAATAAACATTTTAGTGCCAGATATTCCATCTTTTTACCTGTCAAAAGACTTTAACTGATCAAGAGAACAGACACTGAGGTGGAATTTTAGAATTTGATAATGTGACAGACTGGATGAACCAATCCAGATTGAGTGATTTGGGGTTTTTTTTTTTGGCATCCAAACACAAGCTAGAGAAGCCTTTCAGCTCCAACCCCAAAGTGATCTCACACCCATCCTCACTTTGAATCTCAAACGTGGTTCTAAACAACTGACAGTGACTCCACAAAGCCCAGATTGGGCGGGAGGAACAGTGGCCACCAATCCAGGGGAAATTATTGAAACGTGAAACATATTTGAGAGCAAAAAAGAGAAAACTACCTGGCTTTTATCAAACCCAGAAAGGCATCATCAGGACGGAGTGAAGTGGCTTTTTATTACTGTTATTAATAAAAACCACAATTATCGATCAAGCTTGAGCTACTGTCAGGGAGGACTTTAGGAAACATCTAGAAAATTAAGTCAATTTAAATATTCTGAGAAGGAAACAATCATTCCTGTCAGCTGCTAACTCTGGTACTATTTCTTTGTAACTGTATGAATGATTTTGCTTTCAAGTCCTTCTTCATCTTAAGATACAGCGCATTGGTTTTAATGTATGACCTCGGTGTGTTTTGCAAACTGAGCAAATAAAGTCAGCAGAATAAGTCGTGCTCACCCAGGGAGTACATCTCTAGCTGCTGGCGGAGGCGGACCTTCTGCAGGCTGTCGTAGAAGTTCGGCTCCGGATTGCTTCCGGCGGAGGGCGGCAGGGTGAAGATGCGCATGATCTTTCGCTTATTTCTGGTCAAATCACAAACACACACACTGTTTTTGTCACTCCAAAATCAGGGCAACGTACATGTATAAAGTGCTTATACGCTGGTAGAAAAATAGATTGGATAATGAAAATGCTATTGCTATTTCTAAAGTCAGGCGGCTCCATTTGAAGCTGAATTATGCACTGCTGTCAATTAGCAGCGGACAAGAGATAAGCCACACATTTATATTATCATTTATGACGAGAGACTATTTATTTAAATGTTCAAAAATGCAAACCGTACTTACTTTCTTGCGTACATAAGCAGGCCAAAGGAGACCAGGATAACCAGCAGGTAGACGTTGGTGGCCTCGTTCCAAGCTTCGTGCACCGAGTAGTCTAAAGACTCGGGCTCGTTCCCCAAAGCCCCGTGACCACCCATCAAAAACAGACAGTTTATGTGGGCGTCTTCACAAAGAGGGAATTTCGAGGACTTAGCTTAGTTAGCTCGCACGCGCTCAATAGTTAGGAGTCATTGTAAACAGAATACGTCACTTCCGCATTCGTCTTCTTCGCCTCTTTTTTTTTGTCCGCTGCATTCGTTCTTTTTCGCCGCTTCCATCGGTTCTGCTGCCCCCTACAGCCCAGAGTCAGAATGGACGCGTTTTATATTCGACACAACTGAGTTTTCTCCTGTTTTTCGACATCCACAGAAAGACCCTCCAAGTAAGACCAAGCCACAATAGGTTGGAATCTTATTTTTAAGTTGGTTTAAGCTCTTACTGACCCGGGGTAAGAGGAAAAAACTGGACATTTCAAAATGAGCCCTCCTGATTACTTTTTCACCATGTCCAGAGCTATGTCCTCCCTAATTTTGTCTGTTTTTATTGTCATTCTGCACAAATAGCCCTTACCTATACGTCTTCAGATTGAATAGAAACGTTGAACCACAGGTTCCAACCTGAGTAGGACTTGCTATGGTACATTTTCTGCCACAAAACCAACAGGACAGTCAGTGTTGACCCTTTCTATTTTTTTTGTCACCAACCCCACAATATGTTAGTTCAGCTGGACCTACGTGGAAGTGCTATGCATCGAGGGCATTTTCTCTGGTCCTTTTCTAGCCCCTCCAGTGTCATCTCTGTCTGTGATGATGACATCATTTCACTTGCTGAGAGACCTGTGGTGCCCTCCAGGGTTCACCACAGAGCATCAACTCCGACAGCAAAGGTGACAACGTTTCTTTGAGCTTAAAACGATGATGTTTAGGAGAGCTATGGATATTTTCCAGCTGGGAAGTTGTATGCATTTCTACAAAGGCAAACAGAAAACCAGAACCACATACACTGGGATCCACCAGAGGCATTGATAAGGCAGGAACGGATCATCATCCATCTGGAGGGCCTGAGCGAATGACCAAAGGTCTCTAAAGGGCATTTTTTAACTAGTACCTACAACACAGGAGTCACTTTTTTTGTGCATTCCCATCAGGGGCTGGCGTCTTCTGTTACTACAATTTTAGCACTTAGTGGGCCCGAGTCCCCAGCCAGTATCGGTGCAATAAATTCATGTCCACAAGAAAACCTGCAATGCAAAACCCAAAAGTTGAGTTATGCCAGCAGCATCCAGAGGCTGGATGAGCAGAACCAATCAACGGGAAATGCAGATGTTTTACTCCACATAAAACATACACACTTGTAAAAGCGCTTCAGGATGCAGCAGTTTATTTTTCAAGTTCACAAGAAATCAGAACACCCGAGTGGACTCTACCCGGACTCCCCCCGACCTGACAGGGGAGGAAACAACACAGAACACAGTGTTGCTGCTGGTAAAATAACGATTCCACCTCTCAGGTGTTGGGGGGGGAGAATACGGCCCCTCTGACACTGGGGGCATTTCAATTGGTCCAATTCATTTCTCAGGAGTTCTTGGTACCTTTTACACAAACATTGTTGCATCATATTAGTTTTAATCTTTCCTTTTTTTTGTTTCAAAATTACATCGACTTTCAAAATAGAATTTTAATCATTCGTTTATGGAGAATACATTTATAAAGCTGTTTTTAACATAATTGCTGGAATCAATAACTTTATATAAGAAGAGTACACTTAAAATCTCAGAAATGACAGTATATGCAGTGGTTTATCATTACAGCCCCAAAGCTGGAAAAAAATACATTTCTAACAAAATAACAGGGAAGGAAAAGGGAAAAAAAATAAACACAACTAAATTTATGAAAGATGAAAACAGTATGGTAGCTACAATTTCCCAGAAGGCAGTTGTGTGGCGTTTTGTGATGTCTACAACGGTTTTTGATGTCCATTTGAAACCTCTTTACAGAAGAAAGTGGACTCAATATTAGATGCACAAGCTTAAGAAACCAGCTCAAGTTTAGCGCTTCAGTCGAACCGGCCACATGTTCGCAGGCGGTCTGTAAGAGCTTCTAAAAAAAACAACATACATGTTTAACATCTGTGGCTGTGATCAAATCATTCCAGTTGGAGTGCTCCCAGTGAAAAACAGCAACAACTAAAGTTCCGAAAAGTAAAGTATAGATTAGACGCGTTTCGTCGCTTTTTAAGCCGTCGTGGCCAATGAGAGTTCGCTTTACAAAACACAGAAAAGGGAAGGAACTTTCTATTAAACCTTTAGCACAAAAGAAAAAGAAAAAAAACGTGAAAAGCAAAAGCAGTAAATATGTTATTTATCACTTATTTACAGCGCGGAGGAGCTGCTTTACCAGACATACGCAGATAACTGACTGGAGATGGTGGTTACAGGGCTGCACGGGGGGGGAGAGGGAGGGGGGGTGGTCAGTGTGGGCGACTGTCCAAACATGCAGAGTTTCAGTGTTCCCTCTAAGCCTTGACGGTGAAATGGCGCCGCAGCGCATCGGCGGGTAGAAAGACAGACGGGCTGGCCTCCCTTTCGATGGCCACCGGCTTACATTCACTCGCCCCCGCCGTAAGAAAAGGACAGTCCGCCTCAGAGAGCCTGGGTGGACGAGCACGGAGCTGTCCCTCTGCCCGCTGCGGCCGCTTTGGCGGGTGAAAGCATCTGCAGGCTACTGGTCATCTACGGGGGCTGGTGTAGCTTTGCCGGGTGACCTACACGGACAATTCCCAGGGCGTTGTCCGGCGCTGGCCTGCGACTAGAAGCGGAACGGGCCGAGGGCGGTGCCTCAAAGCAACGGGTGGCGTTTTTCAAGAGCGATTAGGATGGCGGCGACTGAAAATAAAAGCACTACTGACTGGTGGGAGCGACTAATAAGCTGAGCGGGCTTCGGGGGGGGGGGGCGGGCGCGAGCAGGCGTAGGGGGGGCACTGACTGGTTCACTGCTGTCACATCAGCACGTCCAGGTCGCCGGCGTGGTCGTCCTCCTCCGTCACCCGCAGCGACAGCACCTCCTCGTTCAGGAACAGCCCGCTCAGGCGCTCCTTGCGCGCCTGCCGCTGCTCCTTCAGCTGCCGCTTGCGCAGCGCTTTCTGCTGGAGCTTCCGCTGCTTCGAGCGTTTCTGGGGAGACGGTTTGAGGAGAGGAGACACGCGTTCAGATGGCGGGTACTTATTTACCCAGTGGAGCTCTGGTGGTGGCCCATAAAACTGGTGCTAACACTAAAAGCATCGGGCCAGAAGGGGGAAAGAAACAAACACTTGTGGCTAAAATAAAACCTTGATGTTTATAAAAAAAATAAATCAGCTTAATTGGGCTAAATGAGCCTAAACATTGATGTGAAACAGTTACCTGGAGAGTAAATCTGTAGATCCTTTGATTCATTTTTGGTGCTAAACCAACAGTGTTTCTGCAACTCGTTTCAATTAAGTTTTTTACCTTCTTTTTGTATTGATAATCTACACTTAAAACATTAATTGGCTTTTTTTTCTTGTTGTATTTGGCATGCAGAGAGCAAAGGGGAAGAAGAAAGTGACCCTGATTCCTGGATTGAGTTGACACGGCCCCTCACTAGTCCCTTTTTTATTCTTCCGTTATTACTTATTCGTTGTATTTTATAATTTATCACTGGTCACTTTAAACAATGTCTCACTACTTTAGTTGCATTTATTTATTTTTTTATCTATTTATCGTCACCCTGTATAAGTGTTTTACGGTAATTTCCCTCGGGATAACTAAAGCTTTTGGAATCTGGAATATGCTGCTGCTTACTTTAGAGTCTCGTATGCGCTCGGCAGCGCTGGACAGGTTTCCGTCGCTGTGAGCTCGGCTGATGTTGGCCACGCTGCTTCCACTGCACGCCGATGCTGTACCACCTGATCCCAAACAGAGGAAACACTTAGTGATTACACATCAAAAACAGCAGCAGCTAAAAAAAAAATTTTTTTTTAAAAAGGATTCCTATGAGTGACTGGAACTACAGGAGACGACCATAGAAGCTGGTACTTCCTGCTTGTGAGCGTGTGTGTGGGGGGGGTTACCTGCCACGGAGTTGGAGGCCGTGGAGCCGGTGGAGGAGCTGGCGGAGCTGACCATGCTGGCGTTGCTGCTGCTGACCCCGCTGACCCCCCCCGTGCTGGCGCTGCTGTGGCTGCTGCGCTTCCAGCCCTCCCTGGTGCTGCTGGCCCGCTGCCTGGGGCTGTGCTCTCGGATGTAGCTGCGCACCTGGGGACGCCGCACACAGTCAACAACCACACCGGCTTTTGGTTGTCGTCGCCTCAGGGTGCAGGCGGTGGGAAGTACAGGGTTTTCCCCCAGTACAGCTACACCAGGGGTGTCAAACTACGGTCCTCCTTGGGCCGCTGCCCTGCAGGTTTTAGACACTTTGGACTGGAGTTTGACACCCGTGAACTACACTGTCCTTGTTTAAAAAGGATTTTAAAAAGCCCCACCTTGATTATGACAAAACTGGAGAGACGTATGCAATCAGTCTGAATGTGGAAATGTACTGTGGCAGCTAGGTTTTTCCCGATCCGATATTTGGATCTGATCGGCCGCCGATATTCGCAAAAAACTGCGTATCGGCCGGCATGAGAAAATGCCGAACCAGTTTTTTTTTAAAAGTCCGATCCCACAATATCATTAGCATTTCCTAACCCACAGGGTTGTCCAAACCATTAAGTTGTGATAAGAGTAAATCCCTGTTCAATACAAGTCTGACAACTACCTAAGTAGGCTAAATAACTTTTTACTTTAATACATGCTCTGATAGGGGTTGGTATCGGATGAAAAGTGCAAATACAATATCGGATCGGAAGAGGAAAAAAAGCTGGATCGGGACATCCCTAGCGGCAGCGTCTGCTCCCGGTTCAGCGACTTACCTGTTTGAGCTTCTCGTCTGTGAGACAGTTGAGCTCTATGATGAACTCGCTGTCGGTGGGGGAGATCTGGGCACAGGGGTCGATGATCTTGATGATGTCCAGCTGCTCCCTCAGGCCCATCTCCGTGCTGACCTTGCGGCTCAGGTACTCGATGTACTCCACCTGCGGGTGGGGCACAGATGAGGCAGGTGCTCGACGGCACTGCTCGGCCGCCGAGCGGCGGAGGGGGGGGGGGACGTGGCATCTTGGCTCTCACCTGCTCGTCGTTGGTCATGGCGCTCCAGGGCAGCTCGTCCAGGTTGCGGTGGGGGTGGGGCTTGGGCTTCCTCTTGGAAAACAAGCACGGCGAGCTCGGCACACTCGGGATGATGTCAGAGAGGACGTCGCTGCTGCTGGCGATGTCGCTTCCCGGCAACTGTGAGGACAACAGAGACGTTTAGACAGCCATATCCATGTCAAAGCTAACAACTGCCACAGCATCCTGGGCCCCGCGAAGTGAATGGGGGGAAAAAAAGGCCTGGGGGTGGTCTACCTGCCACTCAAACTCGCTGTCCGACCAGTCCCAGTAGGTGCTGATGGACGAGGAGACGTCACTGCAGACGCTCCCCTCTGGGAACAGGTCCAGCGAGGTGAGCTCTTGGTCATCCAGGAGGGAGTAGCAGTCGTCCTGGTCCCCCACAGAGACGGAGGAGAAGAGCTCCTCGCTGCACTCCGAGCTCGCCACGCTGGTCCCGCAAGACGTGAGGTTCCACCTGCAAACGGTGCACAGTGAGCAACACTCATTGACGCAGACGTGGAGATTAAAACGGCTCAAACGTACCAGCTCAATCCTGATTTTAGGAGGCCATTTAAAAATGTTTAGCTTTTTTTTTTACTCCCAACAGAAGCTCTTAAAAGGGAAAAATATTACTACAAACAACAAAAAGCAACAACTAAAAAATGAGTTGGAACTTTTTATAGGGTGCAACACAAACATTAGTGCACCGCTACTGACTATCAGCAGCATTCTGTCGGTTCTCAGTTCTAAAGCACCAAAAAAACAACATCAATGTTGATTCAGTACTCGTTTTTAGTTACTACAAATGAGCTTGGATCATTCGACTTTCAACTTTGAGGTCTAAGTGAGTACATTTTTTAAACAGATCAATTCTTTTCCCAAAACATTAAAAGAGATGAATGGAAATCTCCATCCAGGAACATATGTCCTTAAATCCAACTGATTTTATCACTCCTGAAACTGTGAATGTGAAAACGGAATACAAAAAAAGGAGAAATTACTAATTGATGTTAGTAGTTTGATATATTCTAAACCTACGCTATACATAGAGTTTGATATCCTCTTTTTCCTTGAAAAGTAACACCATATGACATCACACTACAACGTTACATAATGAGATTTTAAATCAGTTCAACAGAAAAGCCCATAAATCATTATTATATAAGAATTTTTTTTAAAGCTAAAAGAGGAGATCCAAATTTTCCCTGAGATGGCCAAATCAGCTAAGACTATTTCCCGTTTCTTTAGTTGTTTCAGATTTGTGTGAGGTGACACTGGCACAAGGCCACATGCTTTGTTAATTCTGCTTGTATATACTTTTACTTGTGTCAACACTTTTAGTTTAAATACTCCATCACGAATTGTAGGAAAAAACTTGGGTGAGTCTGAGCCAGAATAGGCTCAACAGCCTCACATTCAGTCCATGTTTACCTTCCCCTTAACCTTTCTTTTGTAGAGAAAGGTCTTCTGGCTAATCTGATACATTTAAATGATTCAATTATTGCTTGAAAATGACATTTATAACTGAAATGGTTTCAATCGGTTTAGTCAGTATCCATAATTAACTTTGACATATAGCAACCAGTAGTTTTCCATTCACACGAGTACCTCTAAACAAAACCACAGAAGAGATAAAAACAGAACGCTATCCAGTGCGGCTGACTAAATGTGGACTTGATTGTGTTAATATTTTATGTAAAACATGTGCAATGCCCAGTAAGGCTAGTACAGGTTCAACGGGAATTTGACAGCGCACAAGCAGTTATTAGTGTGTCTGTATTGTTTTGTGTAGTTTAACAAAAAAAATCTACTTTTCCAGTCATATCTTTGAAGTTTTCTGATAGATACACTCAGAAAATCTCAACTCTCAACTAACTCAAGTCATTTTCCGCAGGAATACGTTTTGCTTTTACTTGAATAATGTCATTCCAAAGTAACAATCCCATAACCGAGTAAGGTTTTTGGACTACTCTGTGCACCTCTGCAGTCAGGTGTCCTCTGAACACACACAGGTGACCATACTTGCCTGTTACTGTGGAAACGGTGCAAGGGATCCGTTCTGTGACAAGATGAGAGCTGACAGCTGAAGTCGCTGACATCCAGGGTTCCCACATCACTGAGGTTGGCCCTTTGGGAGAGGAGGGGGAAGGGCTCCTCTGGGGCCAAAAACTTCTCATACAGAGATTCAGTCATGGCTCAAGCTGCTTTTGTTTCCTCTGGCACAACAAAAGAAAGGGCAATGGTTAAGGCCATTAAAAAGGTATCCAGCCCTTTTTTGTTGTTAAACAGGTGTAGTATGGCACAAAAGGAGCAAATACGAAATTATTTTATCACTACTGTTTCCCCATGAAACAGTTCAACAAATATGTTGCTCACTACTGAAGGGCAGCAACGTCGTCAAATTAAACGTTGAATTATATTTAAAGCCTGAAAAAAATCTGATTTAAAGTAAATAAACATCGATAGTTCGCTAACGTTGATAACAGTTTAGAATATAGTTATTAAATAACACGGTTTGTGTTTTTTTTTTCAATGTGCGCATCAAACTCTGGCAACTACGAACAAACGCTTTGCTAATGTAAACATTCCGTATAATGGCATTCAAAAAGAACAATATTAGACCACACAAAAACCCAGATATATTCGGAATAGTTACATTACCGCAAGCAACTTACTTCAAATTATATAATATCCAAGTAAGGGCCATTATTAACGTTAAGCCTGTGACAACACAAGCTAATTCCGTTAGCTTGTTGCTATCGCTCCAAACACTTATGTAAAATGTATCAACAAAACAACCACTAGGGCTTACCATGAGTCTATTAGTAAATGTAAATAAAAAAAAACAACAAAGTAAAGTTAGAATTAGGACAACACAATATCGATAGCGAAAAACCTACCCGTTCAGCGTTCACACAGCAGCCATTTCTGCCACCTCAATTTGCAAATCCTTTCTCTACCGACGATAATCTGATCGGTCATCGCGAGATTCTCGCAGACGCAACCAGCGTCATGTGATACGCAGGCGGAAGCCATCGCGTAAACAGAAAGACACTCTCCAGAGCTCAAACCTCTGTTTTTTTCATATTTGCTTTTTAGCGCTTATTTTTTGGACATTTTGCAATGTCTTTGAGCCAAGTAAAAGAGTCTAGCTTTTTGGGTGGCAGGATACCACCAGAAATCGAGGCAATGTCGAGAAACTTGAAGGATGTGGACCAAGAGTTGTTCAGAAAATTACTCAAAGGTAAAAAAGATTATTTAAAAAAATTATATATTTATATTTATTCCTATGAGCAGTCTATTTTATTATATATTATTCATCTTTGTAGTTACCTGTCTGGATTGAAAACTTCGAAGACGTTTTCTCCTTCCTTAACTGATATATACAGAGTAGATAGATACAAACAAACAAAAGGCTGAAATATCTGAATGAGACTCTTGAAGTGCCCTGTTTGGTAAAATCCTTTTTCTAAGGCTCAGGAAAAATTGGTCTGGTCGTTGCATGATTTGTATTTAATGTGCTTGTGAATAATCCTCTGTATAGCTGTGGTCAGTGCTCTGGAGGGGAAGGACTGCAGAGAGGCGATGAAGTCAGTAGCAGAGAGCAGTGTTATCCCACAGGAGAGGCTCAGTCACATCATAGCAGGGATGCACCGAGTCCTGTCAGAGGCCATCCGCATCCCCACAATGTTACTTAAGCAGGAGGTGAGCAGCTCTGGCCGCACTTTTGATATTTACATAGAAACACCTTTATGATAGGTCCTTCGTAGATGTGTGAAAAATAATGTCAAAGGAGAACATTTCACAAACATATAGACTAACTTAAAACTTGTGAGTGACAAGAGGATGAATTGAGGTGTATAATCGATCTTGGTTATTGGGAGAAAGGAAATTCTCAGATGAATGATTTAGCTAGTTTTGACACTCATAAAAGAATACATCTTATGTACGTACTAAAAAGGTTAGAACCTGGGTTTTGCCCGGATATAGCACGGATACTTACAGGCCTTATTTCCTTATTATTTTAGAACCTCATCAGTCTTACTTTTTTTCTTTGTACCATACAGAACTCTTGAACTACCTTCAGTTTATTCGAGGAAGTACAGATCAGATCGTTTAATTTATTAACATCCATCCATCAAAAATTTTCTTCTACTTATATGTGGTCTGGTCGTGAAAGCAAAACGCAAATTTGAAGACAATTTAGAAGGCAAAAATTAGGCTTTTTTCCAGGCTTCTTGAAGCACAATTTAAAATGATCCCACACAGCTTTAGTAAAGTGGAGGTCAGGGTTCTGGGTAAGGTTTAGACTTAGACTTAGACAGAACTTTATTGATCCCTTGGGAAGACTCCCTCAGGAAATTAAGGTTACCAGAAGATACTGGAGAGGCAGCCGTCTCCACAGCGCCAGAATTGAATACCTGTTTCTTCTAATTTCTCCTGATATTTAGTCCAGATCTTGTATCATGTAGCATACCTAAGCTTTTTCTTTGTGTTCTCCTTCTTTAAATGATTTCTTGACGGCCATTGTGCTTGTAAAAAAGTTTCTTAAAGATTCACTGGTTCATTCCTTGCGTTAGATGCATTTTGTGTGGTCTGTTGGCAAAACCCTGAACGGAATTTGTTTTTGAGACTTTGACAGATCTGCAGACTATTAACCTGCAGACAAAGAGCCTGAGGTGTTCCCCTGACCTTTAAACTATCCAGATACCAATCTAATTGGACCTGACTGCAACTATGGGCCGCGAGCCTATTGCACAAAGACCCTCCGTATTAGGAAGATGGTCATAATGATTTGGCTGATCAGTGTTTATCTGATCGGTATATCTTTTAAAATGTAAATGTATTATGCTTTCAAAATGGGTTATTAACATCACTTTTGTGTCCTTTTTTAGGCTTTTAAGGAAGATCTCAGAGAGCTGAGGTAAAACCGTTTTTCACAGCTTCCAACTATTTTCACTCCTGCTCATGTTTTCTTCACGAGTGCTGCGATCTTTGTCTCCATTGTCATTAGGATACCTGAAGACTTCGTCTCGGATTTCTCCAGTGTGGTTTTTGGAAATCGGTGTGGTGATTTTTTTTTATCTTCTCCATACAACATACATAGAAGGATGTCTTAAACCTGCACATCAGAGCTGTGCAGCCGAACTCAGGCTCACTTTTCTTTATCTTCAGTCGCGCAGCTCTGGAAGCAGCGTCCTCGCAGAGGGATCCTCAGCTCCCCGCTTTAGAAGACTTTAAATGGAGAGTGGATGTTGCCATTTCTACAAGGTAATCTAACGAGGCATTCACTTTTCTCAGAGACATACAGCAGGGAGCCAGGTGTCACAACATCTGATGAATTCGTTCTGTTTTGTTTTTTGTCTATTTCTATGATTTAAAATAAGGAAGAAAAAAAACTAACAAAAAAAACTTGCCACTGCGCTGAAAGCACAGATTGACTCTGGGTGTCAAAGATGCAACCTGAATATTACAAACAGTCAAACCATTGTACATGTTTTTAAGATGGACTAAACACGTGCTCCAAACTACAAACTAACAAATTATGAATTCTGCCCCTCTGTGTCCATCCAGCTCTTTAGCCAGAGCCCTGCAGCCATCTGTTCTCATGCAGATGAAACTCTCAGATGGAAGGTTTCACCGCTTTGAGGTACGTGTTTTAGCTTTGATTTTATTCAGCATGTCCCGCTTACATTTGTGTATAAGTGCTCAATGAAAACACAAAGCACAGTTTTTCTTTGTATAGCATATGTGTAAAAACAATTCAAGTGCTTTACCCAGAATAAAAGCATTACAGCAGGGGGCAGAAGAAGCATTAAGAAGTATCAAGAAGACATAGAAGAAAATCAAGAGAAACTATGAAATAACTTAAATATAGAAAGAACTATATACAATTGATTAAAACAAGCAGCAGTTTAAATAAATTCAAAGATAGAGTAGAATTCATGCAAAGACACAGGAGGAAAGAAATGTTTTCAACCTGGATTTCAAACCTATACAAACTGCCAGGTTTATATACTTTGAACCTATCACAGATGTATGCTGGGCCTAAACTGTTCCAGTTAGGAACACTAAACCCTAATTGGGGTTTACAAATCTATTCTATGACTAACTGGAAGCCCATGTACAGATTTTGTAAAGAGATTAGGTGTTTGGAATATTTCATGCTTGAACCAACCTGAAAGTGTCCAGTCCTGCGGCTGCAAAACAGTTCCAGCTCCATCACTGCATTTTACAGCTGGTTTGAGAAGAATAATGGACTCCAAATAGCTTCAAAAGGACCTTATAACCCCTTTAAAATCGGATGGGCACCAACACGTGTCTTAATTTGTGATGTCTTTCTTCCTGAGCATCGTATTCAAACGCGCCTCTATGTTGCAGACCTGGAAACTGACAAAACCTCAGTTTCTCCAGAGCTGCTCAGACCTGCTGATAATGAGTCGATCAAGCCCTCCCAGACTCTTAACCTTTTAATTTCTTAAGGAGCAAAAAGGATTTACGTAACTCATTTCTTCTATGCATGAATATGCTGTCAATTTTTTTGTTAATCTGATCTTACATTGACCTCGTTTGTCTTAGTGGGAACAGAATTTTTGTTCCTCACTATGTCCTGAGAATGAAAGAGGATCTACGTCCTTTTTCAGGGACTACAAAACCAACTTTGTGTCCATAAAGGATGATTTGCAGGTCACCCTAACATCTCCACACAGCTGGGAGCTCTGAGAAACTGGATGCATTCCAGAATGAATTGTGAGATTTTCTAAAAGCTCAGCTCCCAGAGATGTCAGATGGACTCTGTCCATGTGGCTGGCATTAGTTTTTCACTGCCGCTTTACTGCCCGCCCGCGGGTTGAAAAAGAAGTTGGTTGTCAGCCCGCGGCCTAATGTGGATCTTTTTAAGTTACATAATCGGTTCACAGTTGGATAATCGAAGTAACGTTTACAAAGAGCCGACTAATCTACCTATCCACAGCTGAGTATCTGTAATGCGTCCCCATAGATTTGACCCTCATCCGATCCACTGATCCACACATATTGTAAAAGATACGATGAGAGCAAAACTACATTGATGTGAGGTTGAGGGAAGAGTGTAGCGAAGGAGGGGCCAGCAGAGGGCCCCAGACTTCATGATTTTACCACGGCAGAAGTCTTTAGCTCTACTTACCCGGAAGGCTGCTAATGTGGACAGAGGCAGGATGAACACAGTGCCCGGTGCAATGTGGTTACACAATCATATGACAGCAGAGAGCATTAGGGGCTTAGTGGCCATCACATCAGATATGCACACCTCTTTAATGGATCTGTCTTATCTTTGCTAGAATTACGTCCACATACACGGTTGTGCAAAGCTTTGGATCCTTAGTTTCTCCATGAATTTTCCAGAGAATCACCAAACAGACAGTTTGTTCAGTTTTAACACCTTGAAAGCTTACCGTTATTCTACAACCCAGCCCAAACCTTCCTTTAAAGGCTCTTCAGGAGTGGTTCTCCAGGCTTCTTGAAGGACATTCTGAAGCACATCTTTGGGTGTTGGCTACTTTTTCCCCCCCAAATCTCAGTCTAAATGATCCCACACTGTTTTTATAATGTTAAAGTTCTGGACTCCGGGGGGAGCATTCATCTCTGCACCAGACCTGTTGCCCCTGATTTTGACTCCACTTTTTTCTGTCATTTGGGATAACGCAGACATCCTTAAAATTGACCTATTGATTCTGAGACTTCTGACTGCTTTTGATTTCTTCCAGTTGTCCTTTTTTATCTATTAATATCATACTGAGAAGTATTCAGCCATCAGCTGTTTAAGCTACCTTGCTGTTGCATAAATACTATGTCATGGTACTTGGATGGATGCATCTTTGTGACTGGCTGCCTGCAGCAAAGAGCTGAAAGATACCATTTAGAAATCATTTTTTTATTTGTCTGGTGTGTGCAGACACAACACTGGTTCATCACTTGAGTTAAGTGGCTTTTTTAAAATATACTTGTATGACTCATAGGTCAGCGTTCAGAGTCTCATCGAGAAGGACAAAAAAAAGATTTGCTCACACTTAAACACATCCTGTTCAATGCCGTTATTTTTTCTCTCATTTCCAGTCCGGTCATTGTACCTTAGAAATATATTGAAATACCTGACTGCTTTTTTTTTTTTGTCCTGTGGTTGTCTTTAAGGTGCCCGTGTCCAAATTCCAAGAGCTACGTTACAACGTGGCTTTGATTCTCAAAGAGATGAACGACCTGGAGAAGAGAAGTATTCTGAAGATACAAGACTGAAAAACAGCCAGTCTGTCAGTACTGAAATCCAGTGGAGTGTTGCGTAGTTTTGTTTTTGCGAACATTCCTTGCAGTTTCTCGTGTGTCGTCATTCGCCGAAGGTGTTGGCATCCAACATACTTGATTCGGCACAGAGAAAATGAGCATCACAGACAATATTTGCACGTAAAATGAGACTTTTTCCTCTTTTGTTATGGCTACAAACGATGAACATCACTCAGTACCTCCACTGAGTCTCTCTGAACATCTGCCTCTGAAAATGTGCTTATCACAAGTATTTTTTAAAACTCAAATTTACATAAGTCAACTCGTATCCGGAAAAAATAGATCTGTTCATTCTCTTCAAGTTGTTTGTCATTGTGGTACTTTCAAGAGCCACCTTTCTGTCTTTAAAATAAAGCTTTTAGTACATTTAATCTTTAAAAAGGCAAACAGAAATTATTTGAAGCAGATGGAGCACATCTCAAGGCCTGAAGGAGCAGAGGCAGAAGGAGGACCACCGCTGATCTTCAGGAAGAGACGAAGGCCTCTAGATCAGAAAAACATAGGAGTTACGTGAGTGGATGAAAAACTCCCGGAGGGAGCCGGATGACTGTGCCAGCCGACCTTGAGCCGAGCCGTGCCGGCCGCGTGGGACCGAATTATCCGCGTGTTACTCGGGTCTATCAAATTCCCAAACAATGCAGCTGAACGGGTCAACGCTGAACTGTATTTTGCAGCGGCTGCCACTTCCCCTGATGAAACCGCACCAATCGACTGCACACATGCTGGTATAAAAGTGCCATCCCCGTAGATTTGTATATTTTCCTTCGATAAAGGTTCAGATGACATGTGGTGAGGTGACCTACATGGTTCCAAGCAAGATTCTGAGTAACATTATTGATAAGAATGGACTACTAGCTTACACTGTACCAGATGGGTTTCTTCCTGGTGAGCATGTGTACCCCCAAATTGAATCCATTCACAGCCATTGCAAGTCAGTACAGCTCAAGATCTTTCTAACAAGCCTAACAAGTGTGAAATGTACTCATGCTTAACCTCCCGAGACCCCAGCTTTATTTGGTGCGCATTTTTCAAGTATTAGTTTAAAACTACACTTTTTCTTTGAATAGGCTCAGTGGGTTTATCTTTAAATTTAAAATGCTTTTTATATGTTTAATTGAATGTGCTTGCAATTTGGTTCTGACAGTCCAAATTACTTATTTACAACATATTAATTACACAATTACAACATGATTGGTTGAAAATGTCTAAAACTATTTTCCTTTAGATTTCAAACGGTAGTGTCTGAATGCGTCTGCTATGAGGCCAAGAGGTCAAAGTCCAAAGAAAAAAGAAGTATCATGGTACAGGGTCTCAAGAAGTTAATAACCCTGTGTGTAAAGTATGAAATGTCAGTCTCGCCTTAAGTCCGACCCACTTCCGTGCTAATTTGCAGCAACAGGTGTTTGATCCATGTAAGTGGTTTGTAAGATGAACAAATTGAAACTGTCATTGTGATCGTGCAGAGAGGGTTAATCTGAGGTTCAGCGTTCATTTATAGGGGGGCGTTGACGGGGAGGGGTGGGGTACTCCAACATGTGTGCTCAAGTTTACATTCATAGGGATGTACTAAGGAAATATGCTCGGATTTGTCTTAAATATTTTTGTGTGTAGGCCCATGATGTGTTCTGGACTTGAGCGGGCACCAGGTTTCAGTAGGAAATCCAGGCAAATCCAGGTCTTTGTGGACTACACGAGGCCCCTGGAGGTGGAACGGATAGAGGAGCCAAGTCAAGGTACTTGTAGGATTTAGGATATTTAAAGTAAGACCCAACAAAAGTTTCACCCAAATCAAGTCTGTTGGAACAGCTGGAAACTCTGTCACTTTAAAAAATAGATAAAAGAAGTAAGAAGAATGGAAGCAAGTATCAAGCCCAAAGGACGCCATAAAGAATAAGAAGCTTATTATTTGGCTGTTAATTATTTAGCAAATGAAAAGCAAAAAATTATGTTTCATTGCTTTTTGTAAATATATATAAATAATATGTACATGCATATTTGCATGCAATTTCCATATTTGCAAACTTCTGATTTCTTTGATAGTTAGGATTTGATTGTTAGATTTAAATGCATTTTTTTTTCACAATTGTCAGCAACATACCAAGAACAGAGTTTGCACGTCTGCACCGTCCAAGTTAAAACAAATAAGCATAGAATATTTAAAAGGAAACAGCTACTTTTTCAAGGGCACGCGCACACTTTGGTTGATACTCAGATGTCCTGTCTTTCACTGCCATGCAGATCGTGGAAGGCAAGAGAAAGAGCAGTTTAAAAGAAGGAGACATGAGATGTTTTTTGTCTGGAAATATTTCTGCCCCGGAATGTAAGCAATAATCATTTTGTTCCAGCTTCATCCACTTTAAATGCAAAGATACAGCGCACGCAGCCGCGAACTGGACGAAATTCCCCCATTTCTGACATATCTCAGTAAATATGATTTACTACAGTCAAAGCAAAGTATTTCATGGTGTGTGTGTGTTTTTTATTCAACTTTTTCTAGGTCAGTGTGTTACAACAGTTTAAATCATTGTCAGTATGATGTTCAGACAACCTTGGATTTTTTTCATTTGTGATAAAAATGTGTGTGGATGAAAGGTGGCTTAGAATTCAAATGTTGCTCATTACAAAAAAATAATAATAGTAAAATAAAAGCACTGTAAAGAATGTTGTAAAAAGAATAAAATACATTGAGTGAATTCAATAACAATTTTTTCAATTACAGGTTTGCAATGAAAAACCAATGCTTCCATCTCTCTGTAACTTCTATTTAACTTGTTTTGTTTTTATTTCCAGAGGGTGTAAAGTATTAGATGTTTTTAATTGTCTAAACAGGCTAAATTGAATTCATGCTCTGTTGCAACAATTCCAAAATCTTTTCATGAAAACAAAGTGACACATTTGATCTGTTTCATAAAGAAATGTTAACTCTTCTTGAATCTGATGGCAAGAACACATTTAAAATATTAGGACTTCAGGTACTAAAGGATTGGAAAGTTTAAAGCAACTCAAGAGAAACAACCAGAGGAAGATGTGGCAACTAATTTGTTGAATTTTCAGCAGGATAGTCAGTTGATCGGGTATTTAAAAAGAGGACCTTGGAGAGGCAGAGTCTCTGGGAAGTAAATATGGGTGTTGGTTCAGAAACCTACTGAAAGCTGCATCTCAATGTTATGCAGCAATATCAGAATACTGTTCTTCAAGTGAAACTAAAAGGTTTATTACACAATCACTGACAGGCAAACACTCAAGAAAGATTTGAGACATCCATTATTTAAGGGTCAGGACCAAGAACCACTCGATATTAGATGCTTGTGATCTTTGGGGCCCCAGGCAGCACTGCAATTAAAAAAACAAGACATGATTCTGACATCAGGTCTTCCATGATAAAATGACAAGGACCATCCAGTTGTTTATCAGTATTTAGCTAAAAAGCCTGCTTTGTAGGCTTCGATCTCATCTTGAACCACAGGACAGAAACCAACAAGATTTTAATTCCAATAGGAAGTACCTTTGAGCCTTCGGAAACGGACAAATCTGCTTTTCTCATCTGTGACGCAAACAACCATGTTTCTCACCAGACCAGTCAGAGCTTGTATAATAGTGTGATTTGTGGATAACCGATTTATCCCAACCCGGTATCCGATGTTCAGACAGGCTGTGAAAAAAGGGTGGCTGTCTTGATTAAAAAGTGGCCCATTTACAGGCTCTCCAAACTAAATTTCAAGGTGTGATGTAAGAGCTCCTCTGGCCATGGAACATCCACCCTGGCTCAGTACAGCACATGCGGTCAGTGTGTGTGTGTGTGTGGGGGTTTTTTTGCTTGCATAATCCTCAGCCAGTGCCCTATTTGCATATGTGTCAGTCTGTCTGTTTCAACATATATGCCAGTCTGTCTGTGCCTGCATATGTCAAATTATGTCTCTGTGTGGGATTGAGTTCACAGGCCAGACCGGCCGACCTATATTTCCAGCAACCGCTGCAGCTGAGGTGGAAGCCGGCTGTCCGACTAGAGCCTGTAATCCCCGCTCACACACTCCAAACTGCCTACGGCGAACAGGTTTTACTTACAGTCCGTGTTGAATAAGACTGACAGGGTGCAGACTGGGCCGATAATACCGTGAAGGCTTGGGGGACAATCCATTCACCTCAGTCATTACATCCCAACCTTAACCTACTTCTACTTCTTGCCCAATGTTGAGCTTTGAACTCCAACATTTCCCCAGAGGTGAGGTTTATCATGGGAAATTCTAAATGTCGACCAAATAAAGCTTCAGTTATGATTAAGTGTCCATCTGCATGAAGGAGTAAAGAATCTGAGATGGTATAACAAAGAAAAAGATTTGTTTAATTCCCTTTTTAAGACTAAAAACATCATATACAGGGTAGTCAGAAGTCATGAACTAAAAGTAAAATGATAAGTTACAGATGAACAATAAGGTTATATCATGGTAGCTGATGGGAACAAAAATTTTGTTTTTTGGGCAAGGCTCTGCCATATCACGTTACCCCCAAAAGGAGCAGAAAGGGGTGTGGGGATAAAATAGTTTTCTAAAGCTGCAATACAGTGCAAAATTCAATATTTATTTTTTTTGTTTCCCAACTCTATGGATCCAGATGTTGCTTTATATTAACCAATAATCATCAGCAATAAATTTCCATATTGCATGAGTTTAGTATTAGTATTATTGAATAAAAAAGTATTACTTTTTATTTTGGCTTATTTTTTCCACTCTGTTCTTTGTAGTTGACCATTTTCAGAGGAATTCCTGTTGGTAATTAATCCTCCAAACACTGACTTGTAAACCATTCAAGAACAAACAAAAAAACTCACTCAAGGGACAAAAGTGACGATTGCGTCCGCAAAGACTTTGTTTAAAATCGAAATCGGATCTTTTTGTACTTTCTGACGTTATTTTTTCCCATTTCATAGGCTACATCTGTCAAACATAAAATATTTCTATTTTTGTGCCGATAAGGTGAATCTAAAAGAGCTGCTATACAAATAAAATCTGGCATTTCTCATTGTGGTGGGCAGTGTGTCGTTAAGAAATAAAACGGTCATGTGGAAGATTTGAAATACATCTCTGAAGACTTTAATGATAACTTTCAAACTTGTTAAAAATGAAAAAACTCTGTTTTTACGTTACAAAATGCCTTTTCATTCATGTTTGCGTATGCCAGTGAGTCTCTGCACCTGTTTCCTGTTTTTCTAGTTATGTTTATGTATATGGTAAGGAAACAAAGAGTGGCCTCCAAATCTTTTCAGACACATTGACCTGTGAAAACTGCTTATATGCCATTCCTGCGTGCCATAACTCTTTTTATATCTCTTTAGAGACTATGCTTTTTCTTTCTTTGACCATTACAATCGGTAATAAAACATCAGGTGACATTCAGTGTGTGTAAATCAAGTTTTACCGACAAAACAAAAAAGTTCATAGCATTGTTTTCCAGTTCTTTTCCTCAATGCTTCCACATACACGTTTTTCCTTTATATAAAGAATGAAAACCACAGGAAAGGAAGGCCCGTGAAGTTTCTTTTTGGTGAAATCAGTTTCATAACTGAACACAACTTGAAAAACATCCATGTACGTTTCTTAGTTGGACCATTACAATACGTAATAAAACATCAGGTGATATTCAGTGTGTGTAAATTGAGTTTTACCAACATAACTAAAAAGTTCATAGCATTATTTTCCAGTTTTTTTCCTCAGTGTTCCACATACATGTTTTTCCTTTATATAAAGAATTAAAACCACAGGAAAGGAAGACCTGTAAAGTTTCTGTTTGGTCAAATCAGTTTAATAACTGAACACAACTTAAAAAACATTCATGGACTTCATCTCAAATTATTACAGCTGCACAACTAAAAACAGAAAAAAGTATTTTTATTTTTTACACCTCCTTATCTAAGTTTGAGTTACGAACTGTACCCATGAGAACATTTTGTAACTGAAAGAGGTCACAGTCCAGAGTATAGAGACAAGTGCACATTCATGGTTAAATGAGTCATAACTTAAACTTGGGGGGAGGGTGTTTTTGAAATGCAGTTTGTGTTATTCTGCAGTGAGCCCCATCGCCGTAACCTGTGACGGTCAACTCCCCCCCTCCCTCCCTCCGTTGGGATCCCTCATACAGGTCAGACAGGCTCCTGAGTCCAGCCTCCTGGCCTGACTGGGAAACTATTACATGCGCGATTGTTTTGTAACGGTGTTTTTTTTCACAGTTCGTCCAATGAGAGCAGCTGCTCGGCGTCACATGACCCAATTTTTTTTTTTTTTTTTTACATAACCCCCCCCCCCTGTCCCCCCCCCCCCCTTCTCCTTGGTCCATTGAGAATCATATCGGTGCTTCCTGGATCTCACCGGGAACATGCAGTGCCGCTGTCACTACTTTAGGACCGGCGACTCAGACGCGGATGGCAGCTGCACTACCGGCCGGCAACGCGCCTCCCAGATGAAGCCATAGACTTTACGGAGCCGTCGCTCAGCATGGGCACCGAGAGCGAGAGCGAGAGCATGCTGCATCTTGCAGCGGAAGCCTTCCAGTCGAAAAACTTCGACTTGGCCGCCGACATTTACGAGTGCCAGCTAGCGTGTCTCGGGGACACCGGGATGCGGCTGGAGCTGATGGTGAAGCGGGCTGACTCGCTGGCGTTCGGGGGCAAAATGACCGAAGCCTTCGAGGTGTACCGGCAAGCCTCTGAGATAGAGAAACTCGGACCCGTTCAGCTGGCCAACCTCTTAGAGTACCTGTCGGGCAGTGTGAGACGACAAGACCGGGGAGAGAGTCCACCCTCCGGCCCGGGGACGGGAGAGGAGGCGAGGGCGGGAAGGGAGCCGGGATGCCCGCGCGACGGTGCCACAGGTGGCCGGCACGAGGAATTCACCTGCGGAATTTGCCTCGGCTTTCTGTTCGAGCCCGTGACTCTGCCGTGCGGACACTGCTTCTGTAAAAAATGCCTGGAGAGGAAGGACAAGGAGCGGCCGGCGACGTGCAAGGAGTGCCGGGACAGCTCCGGGGTGGCTGGCGGACAGAGCTACCGGGTGAACGTGGTCCTCTGCAACCTGCTGGCCAAGTGGTTCCCGGCTCTGCACCGGGCCGGCCGGCTGAGGCGGGAGGGCAACGGGCTGTACGCCGAGAGGAAAATGGAAGCTGCTCTAGAGAAATACAACCAAGCCATACTGATAGGTAAGGAAATTTCAGCTCTTAGAAACTTGGTTGTTTTGTTTTTTTAAGGAGGTTTTTTGAAAAAGTGTGTCACGCTACTGCTCGACGTTGTGTAGTTTTCAAAATCAAACTGTTTGAATTCAGAAGTTGAACCTAGGCATATAGGAGACGTTTATATTAAAAAACAAACAAACAAAAAAACAAGTTACATGACAAATGTTAGATATGTAACATTTCCGTTGGTCTCATAAGTGTGTCAAGACGCGTCGTTACGTAGCGCCGCCGCCTCTTTTCAGGCACCCGAGAGCCGTCACCTGGTGTTGGATAACACGATTATGTAGGCTGGGCCAGTGGACCAAACATTACGTAAGCACGCAGCCCGCCTCCCCTCACCTCCTTCATTGTGTAACGTCCGGCGGCGGAACGGCCGAAATGTAGGTCAAGGGAATTATTTCAGGTCACCTAAATGCCCCGCGGCGACACCGGCGGCGTGACACGGGCGGGGACCGGAAAGGTGACACAAACGTTAATAACCGAGCCGGGCCCAAAAAGCCCGCCATGCCCAAAGCTTCGAAGATTAGCCCCATGCATTTTTAGTAGCGTACTTAATCAGATTACTTAAAAAAAAAAAAAACAGTAATTGAAGTGTTTTTCGTCGGCTCGAGCTTGTTTGATGAAGAAAAAAAGTGTCCTCCCCTTCCGTGTGCGGGGTATAAATGGCCTGACCTCATTTTCGTTCAGCAAGCTCCTTATAGGAGCGGTTGTGTAAGTTTTAAACTATGTCCTCGGCCGTGGTGCCACTTCTTTTTTTGGAGCATCCTAGTTTTCCACACTTAGTAGCAATAGTTAGGGTGACAGATGCACCGGATTGATGCCAGCACCCTGCCAGCTGGGAAGAAGATCCCATGGTAACAGATGCAGGTTGCCCTTGGTTAGGTTTAGGGTTAGGGTTAGTTTAGGTTTAGGGTTAGTTTAGGTTTAGGGTTGTTTGTCGGTTAAATTTGATCCAACTTTTTTGCATCCAAATCTGGTTAATAAAGACAGAATTGACAGTTTTTTAAAAGCTGAAAGACAATTTGGCACGTTTTTTAATTTGGACTAATATGATATCTGGCTTCAACTACAGTTGAGGTAACTGAAAACCTCCAAGACCACTTATTTTCTTATGGTAATAGTAGAAATAGAATTTAAAAAAATCGCTACATTATTTATGATAAATTAATTAGTCTTTTTCAAAGTCTTTTCTCTTCAGTTATTCAGTACTCTGAATAGGATGTATTGAAATTTCCAAACGATATAATCTCAAATTAAATAATTTCATAATATTACATGTATTATCATACATATATATTATACAATTTCATTGGGGTTCAATAAAGTACATCCATCTATTTTCTTTGTTCCGTTTTACAATTATAATCCAAAAGAGCACATTTTGACAGCCTCATCTGACATGTACCTCGGGATAGTTTTCCTGTTTTCTATACAGGAAACGAACACTCTAAAAGAGCTTTGTCTTGATCTGCCACCGGGCTGTCACAACAAAAGTGCAGCGCATAATATGTTATTTCCACTCTCGGTGTAGTAGCATGCTAGAACTGGCTGTCAGCCAAAGAAAGTTGGAAAATGTCAGTCTTATCAAATCATTAAATTGGCTAAATTTAGCTGACACACAACATGAGTTGGCGTGCTTAAGGTTGATCATCGTTAATCGACAAAGAATGGAGATTAATTCGTTCGCAGGCTCATTTTTAAAATAAATAAATCAAATCAAAGAAATGCGGTTTAAATTCTGATCTTACTTATAATTTTTGCAGCTATTTGGCATTTTCTTTATGCCAGTTTGTCACTCGTGTGCCGTATAATGATCATTTAGGAAAAAATAAATAATCCAAACTGAAGAGCTGAAAATTAGATCAAGGTTATGGCAGAAGGTTGCGCAACATTTATATGAGAGGCTTTGATTTCAGGAGTCCAGTGGGCTCTGAATTCTAAGTAGCACAGTTTGCGTGTGCATTGCTTATCAATATTTCATATGAATATCTTTCCTGATGGCTCCGGGAGGGAATTGTCACCTTTTGCTTGATCCTTGCCACAGACCAAGCTGTGCGTTCCCACACAGGAGCAGGGGGAGTGTTTTGATTCTCACGGGGGCTAACTGCGACAGCATTTGCATAAGTTTTTTACAGTTATGAAACCTTGAATGTGGGTGACCTTCATAGTGCTGCATGGTTTTGTAAGGCAGCATTTTTAATTTATTTTTGTCAGGACAGTTTCTGTAATAGACCCATTTAAAGCATGCTTTCTGTCATCTTGCATTACCAGTAATTAAAAAAATTATATATATATATATTTTTTTTTTATTTTATTTTATTTTTTTTACATAATGAATTTTTTTTTTTTAAATGAGTCATACATTTTACACTGTAAACACAGATTGTTTAGGCTTAGGCTGAAAAGATCGCTCAATACTTCGATAAGAGGCAGACACTCAAAATTTCCATCTACTTATCTGTTTTTGCTGCATAATACAACACAGTATTAAGGCATATTTCCATTGAAATGCTAGTTGGCCTGAATATGACTTTCTTTGAATTGGAAAGAGATGACATTTGTTCTTATTTGGCGCCATATCAATCGAACTGAGTTGAATTGAACCGATGGACAACCTGTTCAGGGTGTGACAGCTGAATAAGCACCAATTATCTGAATCGACATATTAGATATCAGTCACCTATCTTTGTGAAACCACGTGGAAATATCTGATCAATGGTGAAATGTATCTTGTTAATCTTTTTCCAGGCACAGCCTATGTAAAAAAAAAAGAAGCTGTTTTTGTTATTTTTCCCACTGACGTTAAGAGCATAATGACTTCACATGTATTATCTAATATGTTCTGCAAATACTCAGCCCCTAAATATGCAGATTGGAGAATGAACAACTTCTTTTTAAAATCAAATAACAGTTTTTCTGATTAAAAAAAATGTTTTTGGAATATTTTCTTTTAAGTTTACATGCCAACATCTGACAAACTGACAGTGAGCTGTCACTGCCGTCATTTCCCATCTTATTTTAGCTCATTTTCTCTCTCTGTCTCTCCCCCTCAGCACCCACAGACCACATACTGTTCAGTAACCGCTCCCAGATCCACTCCAGTCTGAAGCACTTCGAAAAGGCTCTGAGGGATGCCGAGACTGCGTGCAGACTCACGCCTCTCTGGTCCAAGGTGAGGATGGGAGACCTACAGATGTCTCCAACACACACACATAAATGGGTCGATTATTAGTCTTATCACACGTGAAACAACAAAAATTCTAATGTTTTCCGCAGGGTCATGTTCGTAAGGCCCAGGCTCTGGTGTCGCTGGGCAGAGCAGAGGAAGGTCTGAGGGAGTACCTGGTCTGTTTGTCCATCGAGCCGGACTGTAGACTGGCCAGGAATGAGGCTCACAAGGTAAACACGAGGGATATGACCACAGTTGCGACCCTAATCCTCACATTGCCACGATTGCATTTTATTTTTTGCATTGCGTTTTCCTTTTTTTCAAAGCAGACACACCATATCTGTGTTGTTCCCCTCTCTCAGCTCCTCAGTGATCTTCTGGCTCCGGTCACTGATCAGGTCCCTGAACACATCTCCGATTGCTCCAGCATACTGTCTTCCAGAGTCCACATCAAAGGCAGCATCGGTGCTACCCTCCAGGTAAGGGTGCTCCACCTATGACAGTCGTTGTGTACATACGTTTATTTTTTTCTCACTGACTCACTTTATTTTCCCCCCTTCTGTCTTTCCTTCAGACCCGCGGTCCCAGCTCATTGTTATTAGAATCCGATTTGGCCACTTTGCTGCCTGAGGTTGAGACGTCAGAAGGGCGATTTGGGAAGGGGGAGAGCCCGAGAGTCAGCCACTGCCTCCTCCTCAAACGGAAGCGGAGAAGTTCTGAGGGAGACGATGAGCGACTGGAAAGGAATGACGATCAAAAGAAACTCAAATCTGGTGAGCTCAGAACTCGGCATGAGCGCGCACCCTCACCATCTGCAGCGTTTGTGTGTTTCTTACCGTCTGCCAATGTCTTGATTCAGAGTCCGATTTGAGCTCCGGAGCCAGTGGAATCTTAGACCCAACGGATCTGGAATGTTCTCTATGTATGAGGTGAGGTGGACACATTTCAACTTGTTATTGTTTTATGTTTAGCATTTTTATTTGTAAGATTTCAACTTGTTGTGGTCGCGCAATCTGGATCCAAAGTGTAACGGTGCTGCCTGTCTCCCACCCAGACTCTTCTACGAGCCGGTGACGACACCGTGCGGTCACACGTTCTGCCTCCGGTGTCTGGAGAGATGTCTGGACCACAACCCAAAGTGTCCACTCTGCAAAGAAGAGCTGTCCGAGGTAAGAGCGCGAGCCCACTGACAGGACACGGCGGAACCCATAAAGCAAGTCTCTAATGCAAAGCCTCCTGCCTCTCTCCTCAGTACCTGGTCCAGAGACAGTACAGCAAGACGGTACTGATGGAGAAGCTGATCTCTAAGTATCTCCCCTCTGAACTCTTGGAACGACAGAGAATCCACCAAGAAGAGATGGCCGAGCTCTCCAAGTAAGTTTGCGGGCTCTCATTCCTCTCTTCTTTTTTTTTCCCTCTCCTCATGTCCAACTCTGTTTATGTCCTCTTCGTGTTTGACCTACTGACCTACTCTGCACGGCACAAAATAGCACACCTCTGACTCTGGGACTTGTTTGACTGCATCAGGTGTCACATCCTGTGTCGCCCCTCCCCCATGAATTGGAAGAGGGTCTGGCCAACAGTGACACCTATTGGTCAAACTGGAGATAGCAATTATCTCAAAAGCCATCAACATGCTCGACAGTGTCAACCAAATATTTTTTTTAAAGACTCTTTTCCACTTTTGGCCAAGTCCTGGCTTTTAAGGCTTTTAAAATTGGCTGCCGAAAAGCAGTTTGGATTGGTCTCACGAGCTGAGGGGGCACAAAACATTCGGGTGTCACAACAAATATCTCAAAATTCCAGCGATCTTAACCAGAAAAAAAAGCATGCTAATTGAAGGCAGGGTCGAGAATGTGAGGGAAGATAATACAAAAAAATAATTACGTCAGATAGACATTTGAAAGTTTGCAGCAGCAGACTGTTACTTTACGATTCTCTTCCTGGGAGACATGAACTGGAACCTGGCCAACATAACAGGATCGTTTTGTTGGAGTTGTATCTGTTTCTATAAATGCTAAGAGGGCTCATAAGCAATGTATTATGTTTTTATTTTTTATTTACTGTGTCTGGTTTAGTGTTTCAGTGACGTTTAACTCCAGCTTTGTCGTAATGTATGTCAAAAAACAGTTTTAAGCCAGGAATAAAAGTATTTTTTTTGGCAAATTTAGATAAATTAATGGGACATTTCTCTTCTCACCAGACTTACTGTGCTCTCCTTTCTTCCCGTTTCTTCCCAGCCTTAACAAGAATGTGCCTATATTCGTGTGCACCATGGCTTTCCCCACCGTGCCGTGCCCCCTCCATATCTTCGAGCCCTGCTACAGACTGATGATTCGCCGATGCATGGAGACCGGAACCAACTGCTTTGGCATGTGTCTGGAGGACGACCTCAAAGGGTCAGTGCTTGGGAGACCCCGTTGGCCCAGTTTTCTTGCATAGATATATCCAACAACGACAGAAACACTGACGTTTCCTCCCTCTGTGACATCCAGGTTCGCGGACTACGGCTGTCTGCTGGAGATTCGCGATGTGAAGTTCTTCTCGGATGGCCGTTCGGTGGTGGACACAATCGGCAGACGGAGGTTTAAGGTCGTTCAGCACAGCGAGAGGGACGGATACAACACCGCTGATATCGAGTACCTGGAGGATGTGACGGTATGCTGGCTGGGAAGAGAGGCATCGGAGGGGGAGCCAGAAGCAATGCTTTGAGATTCCATTGCTTAAATATGTTTGTGTTTGTGTGTGTGTGCAGGTGGAGGGGGTAGCACAGCGCGAGCTGCAGTCTCTGCACGATACGGTATACGACCAGGCTCTGGTCTGGGTCAACTCTCTGAAAACTGAGCAGAAGGCGCGGATCGAAGGACATTTCGGACCCATGCCAGGGAAGGACTTGGAGCTTCAGGTAAGAGACACACTTAAAACACACACTTACAAAAAGAAAGGCTCACGTGTCCATAAACATCGTCTTTTTCTTCTTACTGGATAAACAAGCATGAAATGGAATTTGTGTTGGAACTTTTGGAAAAAAACTATCTAAAATCCGACGTCAACGACATTTAAGGATTCACTGAAAAGGAACATGCAATGAGAGTAGAAACAAGGGAGGCTTCATGAGAAAAAGACTGGATTTTCGCTAAGGAAGTACTGAAACACCCCCACAGCCCTCCTTTGGAGGACACCCCCCAGCAGTGGTGTGCATAGAGGTCCACCAATAGAAAAAAAGAATAATTTCCAATGATATATATTTTTCTTGGGAGATGCGACTCAAATCGATCTTTTTAGTTTAAACCGAGAAATGTGGGACAATATTCCTAAGTGCGTGCATGCGGTCCCAGCAAAAGATAATTAAAGACAGAACAACGCTCATTCTAAAAGGGTCTGGAATTGTTGAGGACAAAGTTAAAAGTCACTTATCGTGCAAACTAGCCACACCCCCCAAATCCCTTAAACCATGCTGCTACCACACTGTCTCTGTTAATTCCTGTTTTGTTTATATTCAGATCCCAACTCTACATATCTTATAACACTAAACTCACTTTTTTCTCAGCTCTTTAATATTTGTAGTTATATTTATATAGTTTAGTAATGATCCACAGTCTATTTATTACCAAACCTACATACAGACCTCGCTGTACCTGGTAGCCAAGCAACGACATTTCCGTGTCAAAATCACAGTTTGGCTTTCCAAAATGACTTTAAAGGAAGCCTAAGTCTGAGTCTCTCTGTCTGCTCTCCTAGCGTTCAGCGTTATCCAGCATCTCACTTTGTTTTGTTTTTTGTCCGGCAGGCCAGTCCCAACGGGCCGTCGTGGTGCTGGTGGCTGCTGGCCGTCCTGCCGCTGGAGGGCAGGGCCCAGCTGCCCTTCCTGGCCCTCACCTCTCTGCGCGACCGCCTCAGCGGCATCCGCAAGGTGCTGCTCTTCATGGCGCACAGCAGGCACCGGTGACGGAGCGCCCCGTCTTCCAGTCAACGCACGCACAAAGGAGCCCCCCTGCCACGACTGTAGCACGGTTTCCCCCCCCCGCACGTCCACGGCAAACCGCAGAAGGGAACAGAAACAGATGACGACGATTCGGAACGGACAAACGTTGCTCTCTGTTTAAAAAAAAAAAAGAAAAGAAAAAAAAAAAACTTTTTTTAAAAGGAGGACATGCGGTCCTAAGCTATTTTCAGACAGGAGGTGAATCGGATTTACAAACGTGACTTCAAGTGTTTAGACGTGTTCCATCTCAACATTTGTGAGAGGCCACCTTGTGTGCAGGTTCAAGCCTTCCCATGTGTCTGTTTTTCTCTCTTTTACTGAATTTGTCAATGTCCGAGAAAAGAGACTAAATAGATCAGCGTGCATCTCCAAAATCGCAACCTTCTGTCTGACTGTCAGCTTTTCGGCTGTGAATGACCTCTTCTTATTAATTCAGTTAATCGTCTCTTTAAAGGTACACACAGAGTCTCCAAGAGACCAAAAGACGATCCCTATTTAGAAGTCGATTCACTCAAGACATTTGAGATCATATGAGGATGAATAAGGTTTGAATTTGAGCATTCTCGTGGGAAAATGCCACGTTTGTTGTACCTCGCGGTGATCCGTTTTGACAGATTCCCCGTCTTCCGTCTTCTCCTTCTTCCTCCACCGCTTCCCTCCTCTTCCAGCTTTTTTTTTATCCGGCTGAAAAACAGCTTTTACGACGGCGTGCTTTCAAGCCGAGGTCGCGCTTGAAGGATCCCTTTTTGTTTTCATGTTCTGAAAGTTGTTATCCACTATTTATTTGGTTATTTATGCATGCAGTAACATTGTTTACATTTCACAATGACAGGACATGCTGAGCTGCTCTCATTCAAAAGGTTTTAAAAAAAAAAAAAAAAAAAAAAAGTCGTAAATTCTTCCTTGATTTAAAATCTGACCCTGTTGTCGATGTCGAGCCGTCTTGACTGCCACCGAAAGTCATTTTCAAGGCAAATCCCAGTGTTTCTGTATTGAACCAACTGGCACCCCAACTCTATTTCGTGGTTTAATTGGCTTTACAACATCCAACTCCCCTTCTGTAGGCGCCATATCCGAAAGGCTGGCACAAAACAACTGGGATCTAAGCCAACTTATTTTCGTGCTTCAACATCTGGCGCAATCAGGCCTGAATATCCACCAGTCTGAATATTATGGTACTTAAAGGTGTCTGAATTACAATAATAATAGTCCCACAAGCAAAGTTTTTGTCGCAGGCCAGCATAGTAGATGACCAGTGCCTTCGGTCAAAAGACAGATTTACTATCTAGGCTCATCTATAACTGTTTATGAGGAAAGATGTTCCTTAAAAAATCACTATTCTTCACGGCAGGCAAATAGATCAAATTTGATAAAACTTCCACGCATGTCTCTGGGCGGGTGGGCGGGGTGAGGGTGGGTTAAAAAAAAGTGTTGTTGAAAAAGAAGTCTCGAGGCCTTGCTGATGTGTGTGACATGATTGTTTTTATGTTGCGAAAGCTAACCTATGAAAAATGTGAGATTACTTCGCTTTTTCTTTTTACTATTACGCATTTTGTACTCCTGTGTTGGATTTTTACCTGTTTCTATGTCAGTATAGTTCTTTGTATTTATGATTTTCTTCATGAACTGTTTGTTTTTTGTTGTTATTGTTGTTGTTTTTGTCTGGTGTGCGACACTGCAGGGAGAGTCATGTTCAAATCATCTTTAATATCTTGTAAAGGGCCAAAGCCATGTGATGCTGGAAACTGGAGAGCTAATAATTGGTAGACGACATCATTGATACGCAACGCCAGTACTCCACCCCAGCCAGAAGGATGCAATAGGACACAAATTGCAATACTGCGGCGTTGTAATCTGTTGTATGTTGAATTCTACGGGGAAATATTCATCTCAGACGTTTTACAACAGAGTACTCCTGAGTGTTTGATCATTTCCACTGTAATATTTGTCAATGTTATAAATGTAAACCGCAAAAAAGAAAAAAGAGAAAAGATTCTGATTTTTGTGTGCTCCTACATGTACAAGGAAAGGGAAGTCACACAGCCAGCCGAAAAAGCGATTCACAAATACGTTTCTGATGCATCTGTAAATGTGTGTCCTGGTTGAAGTGACAGAGAAAATACACGCAAACTGAAATAACATCTGCTCATCCTGTTCTCTTTCAATGGCTAAAGATGGGACTCGTCGTACTATTTGCATGGATTTTAGTTCCACTTAATTTAGGAATTGAGATGATTTCTTTCTGATTCAAGCTTCAACTAAAAGATGTAGTGAATACCCATGAATTTTATGCATAACATTAAACATATGATAACATATATTCCCACTTTTGACCTAATCTGTAAAATATCATATCACACCCAGCAGCTGGTACCAAATGGAGAAAGACCTCCAACACCAACTCTTTTATTTATTGCTTCCCCCATTGTGAAAAAAAGGGAACAAACCGATAAAAACTATTAGGTAATTAGAAAATAAGTAGCCTACAAGATGAAAGTCCAAAAATCTTTGAAATACAGCGGTCAGAGTGCTCTCTGTTTAGAGAGTCAACAGAGCTCCTGTAAACCAGACAAGCTAAATGCTGATAACACCATGTCTACAAGAACATGGATGATTTACAATACTTTTGTCACCATATTAGCTGTCCTTGTTTCACTTAAACACAAATGTAGCTTGGTCAAAAATATTTGTAGGCTTAAAAAAGTAAACCCCAAGTGAGAAAGTTAGGCAGTGAAAACATCTTAAATGTCGTTTTTGCTCAGACGGCTACAAAATCTTTAAAGTTTGTGTTGTTTTGGGATTAGAGATTTGGGTCTCTGGTGACTGCTCTTGTTTTGAGCAGCGGTTAGCTTAGCTTTTCCCTTTAGCCCAAAAACAGGCTAAATGAGATGTTTACTGCATATAAGCCACAAACCCATCAAAATGTAACAAAACATCACTTAAAATTTTAATTCCAGAAAGGCTATATAAATATTGTTAAAAATTGTAATAGCTTTCGAGTTTCTGTCATAGATTAAAACGGTGTTCTTTTGTTTAGCATAGCCAATGTTAGCTGCTAATTTGAAGGAAATCAAACATTCATGTCCCAAATGTGCTTAAATGAGACTGGATAAATTATGCTTTTATTGTTATCAACTAAACTAACAATGCCAAAATAAATGTAACTTTTAAAAGCTTTGTGGGTCCAAATTTTTACACATACAAATGATGAACTATCCAAACTGCCTCTTATTCTGCCTAATTGACGGAGCAGTATGTCGAAGTTTTTAAAAAATGACACCTTGGGAGGCGTAGCACTCAAAGCAAGGGGGATAAATGTATGCTTTCTAATTTGTTGTCTTCCTCTTGTAGCTTCTTCTGTTTCCATTTGTGTGATTTTAGATTTTAAACGAATATTATAGATGTTCCGGCTGTCTGTGCTTTAAAATGCAACATCCTTTCCACATTTATAAGAGATGTTGCTGACTAAGGTAAAAAAAAAAGTTATGATTTAAAAAAATTATCCCAAATATTGGAAGGACTCCAAGTGTTTTATCAATCCTCATTGGTAAATTTAGAAACATCCTAAATGAATTTCACTATCTTTCCCAGATTCCTGTTTTAGTACTTTAGAAGACACCAATAGCCCTGTGCTGTTTAAAAACTTTTACAGCAACACATTTTTTTGTTATTCCAATTAAGAAACAAAAAAGTCTTGCAAACTGCTGTATATTTACAAGGGTGCAATCAAAAAATATTTCAACTTACTTCAGTTTCTCAATAGCCCATTTTAAAACGGTGTTAAACTGTTAGAGAACTCCACACTCACACTCAGAATCTGTAAATATGAATTTGCGAAAAATTAATGTGTCTTCACATCTTTTGTGGTGTTTATTGTTTGTGTGCTTTTGTCTGTTTTTAAAGTAAAAATTGAGTAAAGTTTCAAGTTATCAATAAAAGATCCAAAAAAGTTATGCAACTCAACATGATGATACTAAGAACAAAAGGGGGGGTAAACACACCTGATATCTTTGTCCTTCACGGCTGGCTGTGTTCCTAAGCAGCAGTTCAGATTACTGGTTAAGTCACAGACTTTGTCTTCAATCATTTACTATATCTTAACCGTACTATAGTGTCAAAAAACAACAGTTTGTGGTTGTCTGTAAGTCTCTGATTCTAATTGAAAAATTATAATAATTACCACATCAGACGAGGAAAAAGGGTCTCTATTACTGTTATGATGGTCTTAAAAAGGTATGATTAAAGTGTTGTTACTGTTAACTACGTTTGTTGTGAGCGTACATTAATGTGAAATGACTCAGAAAAAGTCGCCAATCTCAAAAAAGATTTGAGGCTGGCTTCAGTAGCAAAATATACTCCCTATGAAACAGCAAAAGGAAAGAGTGGATGTTTAAAAGTAAAAAAAAAAGTAAATAATTTGATGGATGGGTGGGTGTGTGAAATAAAGGAAAACTGACAGGCTTAAGGGCTCATGGATTAACTGTATTTTCATAGCACAGCATTGATCTTGCCAAGCACATAGCTGAATTTGACTTTGTTAGGATTTACTGGAGCAATTCAGCACTGATCTAGTTTCTAGATCTAACTTTTTAGCAAGCTTACTTTCAGTTTTTAATGTGGTAATTCTACAGAAAAAGAAGAGTCCTCAATCCCCCTGACTCTGCTCACTGCAATTTCATTTCTGTACATAAAAGGTCCTCGGACTTTATAATATTTCGGTTTAAGAAATATATTGTAAATTGTTAAAACAAGCTGCAGACTTATGGAATGTTTGAGAGAGCACCCCAAGCCGGAAAGTAGTGCTTTGCTGTTTGGAACAAGCTTGAGATGAACACGGCCTAACTTGTAGCAATGCGGGTTTAAATCACCCATGTAAGGATTTTGTGTATTTTAGCATTGTTACATGATGCAAATTTATGTTAACAAGCTGAGAGTGGTGTTAACACTACCTGAAGAATGTAGTAGAAGTAATATTAAAATGTTTTTTTCAAAAGGTCATATCTATCTCTCTCTCTCTCTCTCTCTCTTTCAATATATATATATATATATATATATAATCGTATACATTTGCAATAAGCTTTTACTAAACAAAAAACCAAAAAACAACAAAAACAGAAAATATAAAGTTAGTTCTCAAA